GTCCCTGTACGGCCTCCCATTGCTGCTGTCTCCATCGCCACACTCTCTGCCATGTGCCACTTTCAGGTCTCCTCACACTGCTGGTGGGTTCCATTTTGTCATAGGGTGCTGGCAGATTAGGGCCTCCCATTGCTGTGCCAGGCCCGTAATCTGCCATGGGCCCCCGTACCGCCTCCTCATGCTGCTGCCAGGCCAGAGTAATCGTCATGGGCCCCCGTACCGACTCCGACATGCTGCTGCCAGGCCAGAAGTGTGTCATGGGTCCCTGTACGCCTCCCATTGCTGCTGTCTCCATCGCCACACTCTGCCATGTGCCACTTTCAGGTCTCCTCACACTGCTGGTGGGTTCCTTTTTGTCATAGGGTGCTGGCAGATTACGGGCCTCCCATTGCTGCTGCCAGGCCCGTAATCTGCCATGGGCCCCCTGTATCGCGCCTCCTCATGCTAGCCTCCTCATGCTGCCCAGCCCAGTTCCAGAGTGTCTCATGGGTCCCCTGTACGGCCTCCCATTGCTGCTGTCTCCATCGCCACACTCTGCCATGTGCCACTTTCAGGTCTCCCTCACACTGCTGGTGGGTTCCATTTTGTCATAGGGTGCTGGCAGATTACGGGCCTCCCATTGCTGCTGCCAGGCCCGTAATCTGCCATGGGCCCCCGTACCGCCTCCTCATGCTGCTGCCAGGTCCAGAGTGTCTCATGGGTCCCTGTACGGCCTCCCATTGCTGCTGTCTCCATCGCCACACACTCTGCCATGTGCCACTTTCAGGTCTCCTCACACTGCTGGTGGGTTCCATTTTTTGTCATAGGGTGCTGGCAGATTACGGGCCTCCCATTGCTGCTGCCAGGCCCGTAATGCCATGGGCCCCCGTACCGCCTCCTCATGCTGCTGCCAGGTCCAGAGTGTCTCATGGGAAGTGAGTCCCCTGTACGGCCTCCCATTGCTGCTGTCATCCATCGCCACACTCTGCCATGTGCCACTTTCAGGTCTCCTCACACTGCTGGTGGGTTCCATTTTGTCAGAGGGTGCTGGCAGATTACGGGCCTCCCATTGCTGCTGCCAGGCCCGTAATCTGCCATGGGCCCCCTGTACCGCCTCCTCATGCTGCTGCCAGGTCCAGAGTGTCTCATGGGTCCCTGTACGGCCTCCCATTGCTGCTGTCTCCCATCGCCACACTCTGCCATGTGCCACTTTCAGGTCTCCTCACACTGCTGGTGGGTTCCATTTTGTCATAGGGTGCTGGCAGATTACGGGCCTCCCATTGCTGCTGCCAGGCCCGTAATCTGTCCATGGGCACCCCGTACCGACTCCTCATGCTGCCAGGCCCGTAATCTGTCATGCCTGCCAGGTCACAGTGTGTGGGTCCCTTACGGCCCATTGTACCGCCCTCCTCACATGCTGCTGTGCTCCATCCAGGTCCATGGGACCGTGACTCCTCATATGCTCATGGTCCCTGTACGGCCTCCCATTGCTGCTGTCTCCATCGCCACACTCTGCCATGTGCCACTTTCAGGTCTCCTCACAGCTACTGCTGGTGGGTTCCATTTTGTCATAGGGTGCTGGCAGATTACGGGCCTCCCATTGCTGCTGCCAGGCCCGTAATCTTCCATGGGCCCCCGTACCGACTCCTCATGCTGCTGCCAGGCCCGTAATCTGTCATGGGCCCCTGTACCGCCTCACCGCCCTCATGCTGCTGCCAGGTCCAGAGTGTCTCATGGGTCCCTGTATGACCTCCCATTGCTGCTGTCTCCATCGCCACACTCTGCCATGTGCCACTTTCAGGTCTCCTCACACTGCTGGTGGGTTCCATTTTGTCATAGGGTGCTGTATGGCCTCCCATTGCTGCTGCCTCCACCGCCACACTGTGGCTCCACACTCTGGTTTTTGGCCCCGTGACTGCCCAAATGAGTGAAGTGTGCGGTGATTCTAAGATCGACGGCACTCATCTGCATGTCATACTGACTGACAGTATTATTTCTCTTCCCCAGCAGACTCCAAGGGCATTTAAATTAAAAGGTACAGTGTTCTGCACTAATATAAAGGCTCTCTGAAGCCTAGAAACACCCTTTTTATATAAGTTAAATTCGCAGCGAATATATTCGACTCGAATCGAATTTATTTCCGGGAAATTCGCCGAATCACAGCCGAATCAAATTTTTGAATACTTCGCTCATCTCTAATAAAAATAATAATAATACTTTTTTTTCATATACTGTATGTAATGGTATTTGTGGGTGTCTGAATGATTTCCCCACCCTATGCAGATGGTAGACATGTCTACCTGCAGATGATTTGTCTGAATGGGTTATAAATCCAGTGACCACACCTTTCTATCCCTCTTACAATTTGGTGCTTCTTCATTCAATTAATGCAGAACGCCAGCCTTTCCCTCAGTCTTGCACACTTGTACATGCTCCTCTCTCCTGTACTGAAATTGTTTAATCTGATTTCACTGCATACTGTGAGCTTCTCACAATGTGCATTAGAAGCTTTAGATAAGCGCATCTCATTTCCCGTGTGAAGATTATTAAGCATCATCTAGCTCTTTCCTCCCCAGGCTGACTGTCCCACTCCCAACCTTTTCAGTCACTGGATTTCAGTTCTTTCAATCATGGAGGCTCAGCAACACATGTGGGTGCTACCTAGGGCACTCTGCATGCAAATGCTTTTAGGATTGTCCACTCCAGAGGTCCAGCACCGTGCTCACCTGAACTGCTTCTTTCCTGGTCTTCAGGTCCCTGGCACTGGCATTTTTACTATGGGCAGCTGGCTGTGATTCCTTGCAGCTGCATAGCTGACTGCCCGCGCTGTGCATGCGTGAGCCACACTGTGCATTGCGAATGTACTTCTGAGACCTGTGACATGTCCCAGAAGGTTGCAGGGTGCATGGGGAGAACTTCTGGTGGATTGCCATGGTGCTCTTCCAGCCAAAAAAGTGACAAAAACAGAAGAGGAAGGGGGAGGAGGGCAAAAAAAGCAGGACTCCTCCTTTGGGGTGAAGTTCCGCTTTAAGATCCAGTCCACTACTTGCATCAGGAAGGACTGAAGCAGGGTACAGTGATGTTTTCAGGATGCTATCCAAAGTACCCTGTCAACCCCTCTCACCAACCATAGTGTGCCTGCCTTGCATAGAGAATCACAGATACCAAGTGATTAGATGGCTCCAGTCAATTGTGTTTTAGTTTTGAATAAAGGGGGGTAAAATTTCCTTTGCATTTTTAATTCTGTCTGTGTCCTCATTGATGAGATTTTCTCTCACCTTATATCATTCTGAAAACAAAAGGGGGATGCAGGCATCATTGTAAAAAAAAACATTATCAGAAATAAAACAATAAAGACATTGTCAGAAATTTGAACATTCCCACACTACTGAAAATGTGATTATATTTGTGTCTTTGTTGGCAAAATGTGTCTTTTCTGGTCCTGGCAGGAAGTGTGGGGGAATCTTTCCAATGGTGGACACAGGCTGCAATAAAAGCCTCACAGAAGCTCTGTCCCACTTTTTCCAGAACTAAAAGAAAATAAAAAAGTGTTGGGCAGGGGTTGGAGTTTATTGTAGTAAATCTATTAAGTCTGTCCATTAAAGTAACTTTTGACTACCATTTACCATTGCTACAATGGACCACTCTTTCCTTTCTGTATTCTGGAACAGAGTAGTTGTCAAGCATCCTGCATCCCACAGCCAACCAATCAAATCTCCACTAATTGGATGACTTAGGTACTGTATGATCAGCAGCATGTGGTCTTGCTACAGACATTGGCTGATATGTGACACACTTTCCTCCACCCGGTACCTTTTCTGGGAGATGTTGTATTGTTGGTGGTCAACCAGCTGAACTTCTTGATGGCTTTGGGTGCCTGCTACATCATCTTGAGGGCAGGCAGTTTTGCTGCCTGATTATTGGCAATCAGGTTGGGTGTGAAGCTGGATCTGAAAATGCTGTGATGTTTTGTGTTGTAAACCTGTAACGGAAGTCTGGGTATTAGGCAGCTCTTTGGAGGACGGGTGCCATGCAAATGCTAGGAGACCTTGGATGAAGATTTGGATTATTAGGTACAATTAAATGTTTTATTTTTTTGTTCTTAGAGTCAATAGCAAATATATTTCAGGAATCACATAAATCTCCCTTCTTTAGGTTGATATATAGTATACCTGATCTACTTTCCACTCCACTTAAGCTACATGGAATAACCGGTGCAAGGTTGGGACTCCTGTCTGCCTGCACACAGTGCAATAAATCAAGAAAAGTCCTGCACACAGCTCCAATTCCTCTTATGTTTATTAATCAAAAAGCAAAAAGCTCCATGAAAGCAGCACGCTAATGAGGTTCAGCCGGAACAGCCTTTATCATAGCTCCTGCTGTGTGCAGGGCTTTTCTTGAATTATTCCCCTTCTTCAGGACTTTGAAGTAGATGTGTGGTAGCTAATGTACTGGCATTGGTGAAAGACAGATTAACATCAGCTTGAGATGGTGTTTAACATTGCTAATAAGCGGACAGCAAGGACTGCTGTTGATAATCTTCTCCTTTATAGATTATAGCAACCTTTTGGCTGTCTGCTTATCCAATCTCAAGCTGATGTTAAGTCATTCAGTGAAGCAGTAAAAGTAGACTGCATGCATCTGCTTCAGCGCCCTGAAGAAGTTGGGTTTAGGTGACTCCTGGAATGTGTAGGCTATCACTGCTAAATATAAAACTTTTGTTTTATTCCTGATTGGTCGGTGTAATCCTTGATCAGAAAGCCATTTCAGAAATCCGCAGTGTCCTGAATTGATGATAGGAGCCTCCAGAACTATAGCAAATTACGCTGTTTGGGGCAGAAGTTGCATTTATGTATAGACAACCTTCAAAATGTTTTCATTATTTTACAAGTATTTTAAGAATTTTTCTGCTTGCTCATTTATAAAAGTAATCTTGGATTTACAGTTATAGTAAAGACCTTATATAAATATATATGTACTGCTTGTGAAAAGAGTTTTTCTCATGTAAATCAATCCAATAGATCGGAACGTGTCAAACAAAGGAAGATAAGGAAGCTTTTGCCATCATCTCTGTTCCACTGTCTGAGGTTCGGGACTTGGATTTTGCCAATGATGCCAACAAAGTTTTAGCCTCCACAGTCAAGAAGTTGGAGTATGGAACCATCACTCAAAATGAGCGAAGGTATGGCCATTTTGCTCTTACTTGGGCAAACCCGTGGATATTTTTTCCTTAAATCTGTCAGTCTGTTATATTATACTGCATGGATAGGCAATCTCAGCACTCCAGCTGTTTTGTAACGTCAAGTCCAATTCAGCATTGCAAGAGGTTTGAAGTTTTCCCACAGCTGGAGTGCCAGGTTTGCCTACCCCTGTAGTACTGAATGTTGGCACTGTTTGCTGGCTGCTAATTATTTTTAGTTCTGCAGTCATTTGTGAATATGATTGTGCCTCTTTTTGTAATCAAATCACTTTTTAATCAAATCATTAAATAAGCAGTGGATTGATGATTCCACACTCCAGCTTTTGTTGGAAACAAGATATTATAATGAGAAAATGATTCAGGTAACCCCAAGTGTCACAATATTTAAATAAAACTGACATTTTTCCTTGACATGATCAGTATTAAAGAGGAACTTTGATCAGAAAGTTAAGTCCTGGTAGATCACTTCCGGCTGGCCCCTTTTATGTAAAACATTAAAAATGTATGCCTATACTGTTTAAAATCCAGTAGCACACTGTCTCACCCTTCTCTGCACATGCTCAGTTTTATTGGGGAAAGATGAACTTGGATAGGAGCATGTTATACCTCGAACTGTAGCATTTGAACAACTGAGAACTGCTAAATCTCTGGCTGTCTGGACTGAATGCAAGCTATGTTACACAACTTTAGGCTGCAATGTACTTTCTCTCAATTGAAAGTAATAGTAGTAATAGTACAGCTCCTGGCTGTCTTTCACAAAAAGTTCTCAGTCCCAGCACATAGAGCTTCCTTATTCCAGAACTCCTGGCTCTTTACTCCCTGCTGACCAAGTCTGTCTCACCACAGTGATCTCTTCCTAATGGCTGGGCCCTAGAATGTGCTGCTAGATTGCCAGTATTTATGGACTTTCTCTCCTCCTTCTGGGCACCCCTCCCCAGGGATTGGCTGGAGACCCATGAATATCCAAGCTGTTGTTTTACTCTTCCGCCCACTATACTTCTAGAACCCTTCAGAAGATAGAACTTTTTTTTTTCTTCATTTTTAAATTTGGTCCTGTAATGGGATCAGGTGAGTTGGGGCCTACAACCTTCTTCGGATATAGGAAGCTTTTGAACTTTTCCTCAGTGGCCTCAGGCACAGTTCTCAGAGAGGAGCTTTTCTTCCTTGATTGACAATTCAGGCAGTGAGTCTCTATCTCTCAGCTACTGACTCCCTTTTAGCTATCTTGGATGGACCCTGAAGGATAATCAAGTTCTTATACCACCATTCTGAATGGATCTTTTGGATGGATCAGATACAACAGCTTCAAGGTTTATGGTCTTACAGATCATTTTTCTCTTTTCCCTGTCAGGAAATATTTCACTAGTTTTGTGAGTTTTTTTTTTTCTTTTTATCTTCCTGCTTCAGGAATTGGTTCTTTATGCAAGGCTATCATCTTGTCTTCTGTTCTCACATTTTTTTTGCTACCAGGTGGAGTTTGTGGCTTCTTCTGGTGTCAGATACAGTTCCCAGTTTTTTTCTTATGTTCACATTGGGCTATTGATAATTGTTTGCTGTGTCGCCCAACCCTCAGTTTAACTGCTTTTGGATGTCCCAAAGGTGAAGACTTCCTCTGTCTCTCAATGAAGGAGAAAGAAATCATAATTTTTGTACCGGAAAATCCATTTCCTGGAGTCCATTGAGAGACATAGGTCCAACCTTCAGTTTTTATGGCTATGCTGTCAGTACTACTTTGCTACAAAATGTAGGCATACTGATAGTAGGAATGTTTATTCTGGGCTGGCCTATGGTTTTTTTTTTGTGTGTTTGCCAGTGTCTGATCATCCTGTAGGCGGCAGTGTAACCCGAAGGTGAAGACTTCCTGTGTCCCTCCATTGACTTTAAGAAGAAGATTTTACAGTCGGGACAGCAATTCTTTTTTGTCCCATTAAACAGCACAAACACCCATTTTTGAATGTGAATCAAAATAAAGTGAATTCATTCTGTCTCGGTTTACAAAATTCACAAAGCGAGTATATATTAAATAGGTGGTTTGTTAAATGTTTTCAGAAGTTGGTCTGCCATGTGTTGTCCTCTGTATGATTATTGTTTTCTCTCTGTTCAGGTTTGTAACCAAACTTTTGGAAGATCTGATATTTTTTGTTGCTGGAGTCCCAAACAATGGACAGGAAGTGCTGGATGTAGTCGTCACCAAACCCAACCGAGAAAGGCAAAAGTTAATGAGGGAGCAGAATATTTTAGCTCAGGTGGGCAATCAGAAATTAAAAGAAAGCCATGCATTCACATGAAATGCAGAAAAGTGCATGTGTGGAACCTTTTGGTTGATATAACTGGCAACTCCAAATGAATAGATAAAAGAAACAAAAAAGTAAAATGAATGCATTCTTGGCTAAAATAGGGTTACATGTATATCCAGCCAATCAGATTGTGGCATGTTTATATGTCATCTTGATTTTCCTGCATGGCTGCCAAAGTGCCACTTCCCCTGGCACCTTTCTGCCCTTTTTGTACCCTGGAAACCTTAAACATTCATCCCTGTGTATCTAACATCTGCTTATATGTTCCAGGTGTGTTATTTTGACTGTTGCCTTTATTTATAGCCCCGAAATTCAACTTTAATTAGACTAAAGAACAACTATTTGGAAGTTTAAAGTGTAACTCCATGTATGCTCAGCAAAAATAATCTCCCCTAGTCTGTTACTTTCCGAAGATGTTCTCAGACTTCATTGCACAAACCATCAGCCATTGTACCAGAACATGTGGATTACGCTGATCTCTTATTTCATTTTAGTTCTAAGTGGGGGTGATGTGTCTGCCTACTATAGTCACTTGAGCAGCAGTGAGCCAATCACATGAACAGTTAATGACATTTATGCTATTTACTCCTACAATGCACAGGACTTTCCTATGCAAGGAAACATTTTCTGATAGTTTTGGAAACCAAAGATGGTTATAGATTGAATTAGGCCTTAATTATTAATCCTAAATTATGAAAAGGCTTCTACAGAAATTTCCTATAATTTGTTAACAGTTGAGTTACCCTTGAAATAAGAGTTCCCATCAGAAAACCAAGAGAAAGAAAGCATGAAAAAAGAGATGTATCCTAACAGCAGACCTAAATGCTTGGATGGTGTGCAGCATCAAGAGGTGTCCACTGTGGATATCTGATTTGTACATGAAAAGCAAGTTCTATGTATAATGCAAAGAAGAGATTCAGAGATCTTTTATTAGCAACTTTAACGTTTGTTTTGGCTATCTATAATACATTTTGGGCTTAGGGACACCTTCTTCAATTCACTATGCTAATAAGACTCAGACTGAGTCTCTGGTTTTCCTGAAAAGCTTCCTATGACTCCTAAAGAGTAGTCATTTTGTTAATTCCTTTCATTCTTTCTCTGGGCAGTTCATGAGTTAGGAAGTGTGAAACACAGTTACAGTTGAATATTTTGGAAGAAAAAACTGTTGCCTTTGTTTTATCCAAGGAATGACAACACTTGCTTTGTTTTCTAATGTGTTTCCTCAGATTTTTGGCATCTTGAAGGCACCATTCAAAGACAAAGCTGGTGAAGGCTCCATGCTGCGTCTTGAAGATCTGGGAGATCAGAGATATGCCCCTTACAAGTACATCCTGCGACTTTGCTACCGTGTCCTGAGGCACTCTCAGCAAGACTACCGGAAGAACCAGGTTAGCGTTACTGCTAGAGAAGCTTTCAGGCCATATTAGTTGTATGCAGGCATATTTAATTGTGTTGATCCTATGCCTTAAAATGATACTAAAGTTTAATTTGTAAAAATAAAATAACAAACATGTCATACTTACCTGCTCTTACAGTAGCTTTGCACACAGCTGTCCTGTTCTTCTTCTTTTGGGGTCCCCTGCCAGTGCTCCTGGCTCCTTCCTCTCGAGCAGTGCCCCCGGAGAAAGCTGCCCTGAGGGCACTGCTGTGTGCTCGCTCCAGAGCCATAGCGCTATGCGTCTGTAAGACGCAGAGCCTTGGCTCCGCCCTGCTGTTGCCTCATTGGCTGTGATTGACAGCAGCAGGAGCCAATGGGACTTCTGCTGCTGTCTCAGCCAATGAGGAGGGGGAGTCCCCATACAGCCAAGGAGAACACAGTGATTACTGCTTGCGGCTATAAGAGCATGTAAAATCCAACAGGCTGGTTGTACCTAAGCTGATTGAGCGGTCAACTTGGGTACATTCAGTCCATCTATACATGTTCGAATCTCAGCCAGTCCCTGCTTGTCCCCGGCCAAGATTCAAATCGTCTGTGGCTTACGGTAAGAAATTCCCGTAGACTAAATGAACATTAAATTATGAATATACAGGGGAGACATCCACATGGTAATTTTTGACCGGAGTTTCGCTTTTAGGAAACTTGCACTGAGGAGGTGTAAAAGCTTCTGTTGCTGATCCCTTTTGAAATACTGATTCTATGGCTCTTATGGTGATCCAGCACTTTCCAAGCCACTTAAGCTTAGTACACACAATCAGAAAATTGTACGAAAAATAAAGCTTTCGAAGTGATCATATGGTAATCTGATCATTAGTACACAGCTTTTGTTTGAAATTATTGGATTATTAAGAGACAAGCATGAACATTTTTCTCGTACGATACCATATTGAATGATTTTTTATTCATAAGTACAGTTTTCGGCCGAAAATGCAATACAAATATATTACATCACTTCCAATTTTTTATTCTGTCAAACAAAATTTTTTGTAACTTTCGTAACCTCATCATTTTCAACTAGCAAAAAAAAAAAAAAAAAGAAACGGACGATCATTTGTCCGATATTCTCATCATGTGTACATGGCTCTTTACAGTACCTGAAACAAGTATGCAGATTAGAAGCTATGACTTTACTCTGACTTTCTTGTTATGCATGCTTTCTTCATGGTAAATACTTAATTATGTTAATTATTTTAATCCTGAACACCAACACAATCACTTTCACTTATATATATTTCACAATAGTCACAAAGAATCCACTTTGTGTGGACCAAATACCTGTGCATGTAACCCATGTTACTTTGTAAAAGTAGCAGTAACATCATCCCTCTGCTTTATATATCCTGTGCTTAGAGAAAAGCTATGGGAGGGGCCCAGAAGGCTCCACCTACTACAGGTTGTCTGCAGAAAGCTACAGAAGGGGGTAGAGGAAAGACCAATTACCTTGCACAAGGTGAGAGAGCAATAGTGACCGGTCTTTAATACAGAAGGGTGGGTTTTGATGCCAACATGCTGAACACATGCGTCACTGGGCAGACGATGTTCCAGTGCTGAGAACTCATTCACTGGGTGCTCCCGGCACAAAGACCAAACTGGTAAAGACAGCTTTTGTTTCCCACCAGCAATAGCCAAAGGGAACGGCTCCCAATCATGTAACCACTGTGACAACCAATCACAGTAGTCACATGATCGCTGATCCTTCCTACTCCCCCTTCACCCCAGGCATTTAGAACCTTTTAAAGAGATGCTGGGGTGGGCAGGAAGAGGTTAAACATTTCTAACTTTTTTTATAAGAGAGTTTTTTTATTGCTTGGTCATGTGATTCTTCAAACTTTGTGTCCCCTTTCTATGCAAGCAGCTTTTCACATGTTAGAATTTATATCAGTACCCCGAGGGCTTGCAGTGTGTTGGTTTAGGGTGGGATAAAGTCACAAGGACTGCAAATAGAGCATTTAGTAATGAAGGCGGCAACAGCATGGACATCCGTCCAGATCCTTCCATCCATAATCACAGACACTAACACAATTTACATTCTTCTCTTCCCAGGAATATATTGCCAAGCATTTCTGCATCATGCAGTCACAGATTGGATACGACATCCTGGCAGAAGACACCATCACTGCTCTCTTACACAACAACCGCAAACTGCTGGAGAAAACACATCACTGCCAAGGAGATTGAGACCTTCGTGAATTTATTGAGACGGAACCGAGAGCCGAGGTCAGTGCAAGAGCGTCTCAATATCAATGAGTATAAAAGTTCACAAAATAATGCATTCATCATGTTTCTGTGAAACACTAACCACTGTATAAAGCGTTTAAAATATATTTATATTTAATTAAATATTCTTATCAGTCAGTGTATTATTAGATTTCAAATCAATTTTAATCAGTTTTCCACATTTACACAAAAAACTATAGAGACCAATTAGCAACCTAAAAAGTGTAGGTAAAATTACAGAAAAATTCAGTATTTTAACAGAAACAGAAAAAAAAATCCAGTATTTTAAATTGCTTACTTGCAATGCTTTTTCTTTTTATGAATTATTTATTTTTACCCACTTATAATGTGCCTTTGAACTTGCTCGAAAATTTGACTTTATCGGGAAGAGTGAATTCCCTAGCATACCCTCTCCTTCCGCGCACGTCATAGCCCTCATCTCTTCTGGGGGGTCTTATTAATCTCTGTATTGGCCCAGCTCCTCCATCCCTCCTTTCACCTCTTTACATGACCTTTTTGTAGCTTTCAAGGTTAGTGGGAATACTATAGAGTAGTGATTTCCAGTGGCCCGGGGCTGGAGCAACCCTTTGCTTGCCTTTATCCGGCCCTTGGGGCACTTTTCCTTCCACTGACACAAGACACTCTTCTGCCAACTGACATCAACAATAGGGCACCATTTCTCCCACTGACACCAACAATGGGGCAGTATTCCTCACAATGATACCAACAATGGGGCACTGTTCCTCCCCCTAATACAAAATGTGGCAATGTTTACTCCCACTGGTGACAGGTAAATTACCACTGCTGTTGACCACAGTCCGGCCCCCCTAAAGTCTGAAGAACAATAAACTGGCCCTTTGGTTAGAAAGTGTGAAGACCCCTGCTATAGATTGTCACTTGAGTGACAGCTGTGAGTCTGCTGGGGTAAACAACATGCATAAAATATGTTCAATGCACATTTAATCCTATGAGAAGATTTTCGTTGAAATGAAATGGTGTGATGAAAGGGTATCTTTAAAGTGGTTGTAAAGGCTCAAAGAATGCATGAAGGTAAAAAACTTTCCGTGTGCAGCTCCCCCCTCTACCCCCAGCTCCCCCTAATACCTTAGCCCGATCACGATCCAACAATGTGCACGAGAGCCTCAGCTCTCCTGGGACTTTCCCTGTTCATTGGCTGAAGCAGCAATGGGAGCCATTGAAAGGAGGCAGGGACGAGCTATGGCTCTGTGTATGAATGGACACACAGGGCATTTGGCAGGAGAAAGGGGCCAGGAGCATCGGCGGGAGACCTGAGAAGAAGAGGATCGGGGATGCTCTGTGCAAAACCACTGCACAGATCAGGTAAATATGTCAATTTTTTTTTTTTAAATATTGCCTTTAATAGCACTTTAAATTGCTACATCCAGTGAGATATAATACGCAACAGAAAAGTCCAACTGCAGCCAAAGCTTTTTATTATTTAGTTTTGGATAGTCAGAAGAGTTACAATATCTGTTCTAATTTGGGAGATTTACCCTCATTCTTTAGTCTAGAGACAACTAACCAAGTCTGCAACCATTTAAAACTTTGTTTAAAAGAAAACGTTTTGGCTGGCATACCACTGTAAGGTCTCATGCACAGGACATCTGTTTAACCCCTCTGAACACCAGAACTCCTGGCAGGAAAAAAAGCTCCTTAAAAAGCCGGGTATTGCACAAGCGTTTAAGTGCGTCTAGTGTTTGAGCATTAATGCTTTCTATTGTCCAGAGTATTAATTTAGGCACGTTCCACGTTTTTTCTGCTCAAAAAACTTCTCTCCTGAACCCTCCTTTGGTGTTTTCATTTTTTTTTTCAGCCTGTAAAAGCTCTTTTGCTAATACAACTGTAAATGTCTATGTGTGCATGGACATGGAAAGCCTGAAATAGAGATGCTTTTACAGTCTGAAAAAAATACATTCAATGCCTGTAACAGCTGCTTTTTTTAAAGCCCTGTGTGCATAAGCCCTAAGGCTGAATTCACGCTATGTGCAGTGGCCAGTGTTTTACTGCATTGTAAACTTTGGTCACTGCAAGGACAGAGAAAACAATTGATTTCTTTGTGTCCCATTCACACTGCAAAGCTCTGTGTCCCATTATGAGGGGTTCCCACCATTCCTGTGCTGAGTTCCTGAGTCTGTACAACTGCTGTGTCCAGTATCACGGGTTACCATCACCCCTGAGCTGAGTTCCCAGGTCTGCACACCTGCTTTGCCCATTATGAGGGATTCCCATCATCATCATAATGGGCAAACCCATTTTAGCTGTGTTTTATAGACAGCCCATCTTCCATAGATATAAATGGAAACCTATATGAATGGGCCCTTTTCTTCTATTATATGCAAAGGTGTGATTTGCTTGAGGATGTATGACCTAATAAAGATTTCATGTTCTTGTTCTTTAGATTCCTTGATTATTTGTCAGATCTGTGTGTATCAAACACAACTGCCATACCTGTAACTCAGGAACTGATCTGTAAATTCATGTTAAGCCCAGGAAACGCTGATATCCTTATTCAGACCAAGTAAGTACCTGACTGCTGTAATTCAGACTCTCACATAGAGAGCTCACTCCCAGGACCTTATTTTCAGGGTTTGAGTGCCTTTTATATATTTTTTTTTTTTTTGAATGTGTAACCAGATTTTTGGTTTTAACAATGTGGGGTGTGGGGGCGTGCAGAAATGCAGCCTTTTCTATCTTTTTCATATCCTGTAGCAAATCATAATACATTCACACCACTATGTAACCTATACTGAGTTAGATTGTGATAGCATTCACAATGCTAGATGTACCTGTTTTCAAGCAAGCAAGAGCACTAGGCCAACCTATAACAAACCAAATTGGGGCTAGACAATCCTCTAGCTTTTCAAAATATTCATGTACCATTCAAATAATATCTTATACCAAGCAATATTTCTGGTCTTTAACCACTTGCCTACCAGGCACTTATACCCCCTTCCTTACCAGGCCAATTTTCAGCTTTCAGCGCTGCCGCACTTTGATTGACAATTGCGCGGTCATGCAACATTGTACCCATATGAAATTTTGATCATTTTTTTTCTCACAAATAGAGCTTTCTTTTGGTGGTATTTAATCGCCACTGGGCGCTTTACTTTTTGCGCTATAAATTAAAAAAAGTGCAAAAAATTTGAAAAAAAAAAAAAAAGTTTATTTGTTTCTTTTATAAAATTTTTCAAACAGGTATTTTTTCTCCTTCACTGATTTGCATTGATGAGGCGGCACTGATGGGCACTGATAGGCGGCACTGATGGGCACTGATAGGCAGCACTAAAGGGCACTGATAGGCAGTACTAATGAGGTGGCACGGATAGGCGGCACTGATACACAGCACTAATTAGGGGTCACGGATAGGCGGCACTGATATGCAGCACTGATAGGCAGCACTGATAGGTGACACTGATGATGGGTACTGATAGACGGCACTGACTGGCATCACTTCTGGGCACTGACTGGCGGCACTGACTGGCACAACCCCTGGGCACTGACTGGTGGCACTGACTGGCAGCACTGCTGGGCTGCACTGGTGGGTGGGCACAGGTGGGTGGCACTGGTGGGCACAGGTGGGTGGGCACAGGTGGGTGGCACTGCTGGGCACATGTAGGTGGCACTTCTGGGCACAGGTAGGTGGCACTGCAGAGTGGCACAGGTGGGTGCACTGCTGGGCACAGGTGGGGGCACTGCTGGGCACAGGTGGGGGCACTGCTGGGAACGGGTGGGCGGGGCTAGTGGGCGCACTGCTGGGCGGAACTTGCGGGTGTCACTGCTGGGCACCGATCATCAGGGCACTGATCATCAGTGCCCTGATGATCGGTGCCGATCCCCGCTCTGACAACTGCCGGTTCTCGGCAGTACTTTCCTCACGATCTGACAGCGTGAGGAAAGTGCAGCCGAGAACCGGCACTTGCATTTCCCTGTGATCAGCGTGTCATTGGACACCGCTGATCACGTGGTAAAAGGCCGGTGGGATCGGCCTTTCACCACATCACGTGATCAGCTGTGTCCGTAGGACACAGCGATCACGGAGATCGCCGGGTGCGCGCCCCCTGGGGCGCGCAGGAGAGCGCGTTCTGGGAGGGACGTCATATGACGTCCACTCAGAACTGGCCGGCCGCGGTGAAGCCGTCATTCCGCTATGCGCGGTCGGCAAGAGGTTTACAGTGTTACTAAACCCATGACCCTGCATTCACTATATCTGGTCTCCCACAGTACACACAACATGGAAATGCAATTATTTTAGTACTATAAATATAAATTGCTATCTACCTTTACTCATCAGCAGTTGGAGCAGTCTTGTGACTTCTATCAGTGTCCAGCAGAGCACTGATTAAAGCTTGTAGGAGGAGTTTTCATTCTCTCCTGATTGTCCTATGAGACCGCAGGACCCCTAAACCTTTGTCTGGACAGCACTGATTGGCCCAGTGCTGATCACATGCACTCTTCCAAGAATAAAAACTGAGCATCTGTAAGTTGCCCCCAAGGCTCTGTTCTATCAGCAAATGGGTTGGGGTCTGTGGAAGAAGGGAGGATCAGAGACAAACATACTTTTTACTCAATGCAGGGGATTAACCCCTTAGGTTCCACAGTGAGTATAACAAGCATGCTTTACTGAATATACAGATTGATTTTACTGTTGTGGGTTTAGTAACTTTTTAAGTGATGTTTTAACTTTGGAATATTTATGCAGAGACAGAACCGAATGCTTCAGGGCCACAAAAAACAAAATGAGATCTCTTTCCATCTCTCTGCAATTTTATTTGCTTTAGTAAATCTGACAGTATCAAAATGGATGCACTTAACATAATTGTCTAATAGCAGGCACCTCAAGATTCCTTAGCAAACTTTTTTTTTTTTTTTCCATCTAAAATCTTTCCAAGTGCATGCCCTAAAAGTGCTGACACACCCCAAATGTAAATACCAAAGTTCTGACTTTTCCTCTAAATGCCATAATACAATTAGTGGACCAACCTGCAATATAATTTGATCACTCGCTGCAACACTTTATTGGTTTGCTGTACAAAGAACTGCTAGATTGTACTGCATCCCTTAGTTTGACGTTGACAGGCATGACTTATTGTGTTTCCAGACTGGTCTCCATGCAGATGGACAATCCCCTGGAGTGCTCCGTGCTCGCGGATGACATTGATGAAGAAGAAGTCTGGTTATATTGGATTGACAGCAATAAAGAGCCACATGGTAAAGCCATCCGGCACCTGGCACAGGAAGCTAAAGAGGGAACTAAAGCTGACCTGGAAGTGTTAAACTACTACAGGTGAATACCATGATACACCTTTAAATGGGATGTGTAGTCTTTCCGTTTTCTGTAGATACACTTGTATATGCTTGAATTGAATACCTTTTCTGTGGTATTAGCATTGTAAAACCTTGTTTCAGTGTATGATTTTAAGTCATACTGTTTATGTACATGGGGGCAGCCATATTTGCTCATTACTTACTCAGGCTCTGCTTCCTGCTTTGCAGCTGTTGTGCTTTACTGCTCCTTGTCTGTGAAGGTTGCTGTTCCTCCAGTTCATGGTATACCTAGTAGTAGTTAGTAGTTGTTCTGTAATGTTGAGGACATTTCTAATGATTTCCTAGGTTTAGTAGGTGTTAGGAACACCAGTAATTATAGCAACACGGGTCACTCAGCTTAATATTATCACCCTTAAAAGTGCCAAGGCAGATATTGGTTGTCCATGAACAGGATGGGAGATGTGACAGTCTTTGAAATCATCCAATACTAATTACATATTCTTATCTCATGCTGGCCCAATGCTTGAGTTAGGTAGGCCATAGATCATGCGATTTTCTTTCCTGCAACCATGGGTTACAGGAAAGACAATTGCTCAATTCCCCCATCATCCAGTTAGTGTTGAAGGGGGAATCCCTCCCGCGGAGCACAGTGAATACTGCTAGTGGCTATAGCCGCTGGCAATAATTGCATGCTAAGAATCTGACATCAATCAACTTGGGTACAATCAGCCTGCCCATAGGTGGATTGAATCTCTGCCGGTCCCTGCTGAACCGGCTGAGATTTGATCCATCTGTGTCTGGCTTTAGGTGTTAATCACTTGAGGTAGAAAGATGGAGATTTGAATTGTTGTCAAATGGCCAGGGTAGAGAAGGCATTGTATGTGCAGAAAGATGGCGTGGAAGACCCCCACCCCATTTAGGGATGATATTGTTATTCCTTTTCTTGTGATTTTGTGAAATCCAGATACAGATGGAGTAACACAAATTGCAAGACAATCCTCTACTTATCCTAATATGAAATATGAAACAATTGTCCAAAAGTTTACTCTTTTCTGGAGCAATAACCTTTCTCAGATAATCTAAAAAGAAAAAAATTAAAAGACATTTTCTTTACAATTTTAAGTTTTTGTTTGTTTGTTTTTGGCAAAGGTATCAGTTAAATCTGTTTGCACGAATGTGCCTGGACCGCCAGTATCTTGCCATCAACCAGATCTCCACCCAGCTTTCTGTAGATCTGATTCTTCGCTGTATGTCTGACGAAAGCCTCCCTTATGACCTACGTGCCTCCTTCTGCCGTCTTATGCTGCACATCCACGTGGACCGTGATCCTCAAGAAACAGTGGTTCCTGTGAAGTACGCCAGACTGTGGACAGAAATTCCCACACGAATCAGCATCCATGAGTGAGTGTTCTAATTCAGTCTCCCTAGATCAGAATTAAGCTAGTCATAGATGGATCAAAATTCCACCAGCCCTGCAGGGACCAACTAAAAATTTCATCCATCTATGGCCATTCCTGTTCGAGAGGAGTTGATCTAATGATCGACTCCTTCTGAATGGGACTGTTGAACTGTAGCAATAGATAGTAAAGCTGTAAAATATTTACTATGAAGAAGGTGAGACTTTGGGCATCCTCCAGTGACTCCAATGACTTGGTATTGATCACGTGGTTTCTGTTAAAAGGGAGCTTCAGTGTTGCAGCAGTATAGGAGATGATTAGTTTTAGGGCTTAGGTCAGGGGTCTGCAACCTTTAAGACATAAAGAGCCACTTGGACCCGTTTCCGAGAGGGAAAAAAAGACTGGGAGCCGCAAAACCATTGCAACATTTAAAACAAATCCGACACTGCATATATTGCAAAAAGCGCTCTGGTCATGAAGGGGGTTTAAGGGCCCAGTAAGCAAAGGGTTAATCAGGGCCACAGTGTATCGTCATAATCACAATCATAGCCTTAGGTCAGTGGTGGGCAACCTTTTTTTCCAACTGAGCCAAATCTCGCCAAAACCACGATTGAAATTTATTTTGAGAGCCACATTTTTAACACTGAAAATACATCCCCCATATAGTAATTCATCCCCCATAGTAATTCATCCCCCATAGTAATTCATCCCCCATATAGTAATTCATCCCCTATAGTAATTCATCCCCCATAGTAATTCATCCCCCATATAGTAATTCATTCCCCATATAGTAATTCCCCATATAGTAATTCATCCCCCATATAGTAATTCATCCCCCATAGTAATTCATCCCGCATATAGTAATTCATCCCCCATAGTAATTCATCCCCCATATAGTAATTAATCCCCCATATAGTAATTCATCCCCCATATTGTAATTCATCCCCCATAGTAATTCATCCCCCCTATAGTAATTCATCCCCCATATAGTAATTCATCCCCCATATTAAGTCCCCAAGTCCCCCCTGTGTCAATTCACTTACCTTTGCTCCGCGCGTTCCTCTCGCCGTGTTCCCGTGCCGTTCCGGTGTAGCATGAAAATCTGTCTCCTATGAGGATCTGTCCCCCTCGACGTATCTGCGCATGTGCCAGTTTCAGGCATTAGCAGCCGAGGGGGACAGATCGAGGGGGACAGATCCTCATAGGAGACAGATTTTTATGCTACACCGGTCTTCAGGGCGGACTGTGAGAGGAGCCTAGCGGGAGCCTAGCTAGCTCCGCGGGCCGGATTAAAAGGTCCGCCGGGCTGTAGTTTGCCCATTGCTGCCTTATTGCCTGTCACCTGGTGGGCAGTGTGCTCCGGAGCCGCAGCCAAGGTGAAAAAAGAGCATGCGCTGGAGCCGGGTTGCGGACACCCGGCTTAGGTGATGGGTTAGATTTGTGTTAGGTCTTAAAAAATGGAAGGAAAGGCTATACCTAACTATGCCTAAACCTTCCCCCCATCTAACTCCTATTCTATGCCTCTACTTACCTATTCTGAGGGCGCTCCAGTACTGTCATATGTCTCCCCAGTGGCCAGCTTCAGGGGAAAGGAGAGATCATAGACAACAACAGCAATACCTGTGTCCTTACGTCACCCATAGCTTACTATGGGGCTTCTGTTTTCAGCTGCCCCTCCTCTTCCCTGACCTTCCTCCTGATGCGAGGAGATCATGTGACTGGGGCGCCCTCAGAATAAGTAACTATGAGGGTCTTCCTTTCCCAGGATAATGAGAATAAGATTTATAAGAAGGTGGGAGCAGGTTTAAGCATAGTAAAGAATAGCCTTTCCTTCCACTTTAAGTGTTGGGAGGAGGCTTAAAGTGTTACTAAATCCAGAACAGTAAAATCAGTCTCTATATGCAGTAAAGCATGTTTGTTATACTCACTGTGGAACCTAAGGGGTTAAGCATCTGCATTGTGTAAAAAGGTTGTTTGATCCTATCTTCTCTGATCCTCCCCTTTTTCCATAGTTCCCAATCCATCTGCTGATAGTACAGAGAACTAAGAGGCACTCTGCACATGCTCAGTTTGGTGTGTATAGCTAGAGAGGTTTTTTTTTTTGAGAAGGGTACATGTGATTGGCACGGGGCCAATCAGCACTGTCCAGGCAGAGGGTCAGGGGTCATTCTGCCTCGTTACAGTAAGAGGAGAATGAAAACTCCTCCTATAGGCTTTAACCAGTGTTGGCCGGACACTGACAGAAATCACAAGACTGCTATATACTGCTGATTAGAAAAGGTATTTAGTAGTTTATATTTACTAAAATAATTGCATTTCCATGTTCTGTGTACTGTGGGAGACCAGATACAGGGAATGCGGGGCCCTGGGTGCTCAAGTTAGGGGTTAGGTTAGTGTTAGGATTGGGGGTGTGTATTATGGGATAGGTTTAGGGTCAAGTATGTAATGTTAGGAAAGGCAAGAGGTTAACTGTTTAGGGCTCATTATAGGTAAAGTGTTAAAGTGATATTAAAGGCAGCATTTTTAAAAAAAATAACAAACATGTTATACTTACCTGCTCTTTGCAGTGGTTTTGCACAGAACAGAACTGATCCTCCTCTTTTTGGGTCCCTGCCGGTGTTCATTGCCCCTCCCTCCTGCTAAGTTCCCTCAGAGCAGGCAGCTTGCTATGGAGGCACTCAAGCAGGCTTGCTCTCGAGCTACTGCTCCGCTTGTCCATTCACACACAGAGCCGCGGATCGGCCCTACCCTCTGCTCTCTCCTTTTTGGCTCACTGGCTCTGATTGACAGCAGAGGGAGCCAATGGCTCACGCTGCTGTCTCAGCCAATGTGGAAAGAGAATCCCTGTGGAGCCGAGGCTCTTGTGCACATTGTTGGATCGCAGTGGGGTTCAGGCAAGTATTAGGGAGGCTGGGTGGGCTGCTGCACACAGAAGGTTTTTTACCTTCATGCATAGAATGCATGAAGGTAAAAAACCTTGAGCCTTTCGAACCAATTTAAGTTCTCATGGTAAGGAAGGGTTAAGGGAGCTTAGGGGTGTAATTTATTGTAGGGGTTATGTTTAATTAGTTTAGTAGACCTGAAGATTTTTATCTCAATATCCAGTGCTTTACCTCTGGCACAAAGAACAAATGTACTGCTAAAGATAGACAGGTAAAGATCTACTGTCTAAAGGTAGACTGTTCTGTGTAATAGGTCCCTAAAGGCTTAGTCCTCCTTTTGTACCATGTTACATGTTACACCCGTATTTGAGTGTAAGGCAGCCCATAGATGATTCTTTTTGAACGATAAAAAAAAAAAAAAAAAGACTTGATTGAGCCACACACTCAAAGTGTAACATGGTGCAAATAGGACCCCTCCACTCCCATACAGCCCCTCCTTCTTTCCAGTGACAGTTTGCTGGATTTCTTCTCCCTCGCAGCCACTGTCACTTTGTGAAATTTTTGTGGCTCTGCACACACATCTGCATTATTCATTCACAGAGTGTTCTGTGAATGAATAAACTACATGTGCTGTCTACAACTGCAACAGAAGGGATTGTAGTTCTCAATGTAACATAGGTGCAGTAATCACCAAACTGTCTAGTGACACTTCCTCCATCTCACTAACTGTAGGTCTGTACCTGAGTGCAAACATAGAGCTGGACCAAAAGAGTCTACAGGAGCCTGGCAATGCACTAGCCAACCTATTATTTTCAAAAGGAGAGGTCAGCTTTAGCACCTGTGTATTTCCCTTAATAAACATGTAAATGGTGATCGTTGCTTATAACCTTAAATACTTGTGTTCCTGCAACGCGCAAAAAATTTGCATCCCTTTTGCAGGCATGCGGTGGTGCCATTAATACGTAATGGCGCAGCACAATTTAAAAAAAGGTTCTTGCACTCCTTTTGTGCAATTTGTCTTACATGTAGGGCATCCTATTGAAATGAATGGGCTGCCCTACATGTGACATGCAAAAACATGTTTAACCCAGTAAATACAGTTGTGGCCAAAATTATTCAACCCCCAATGCTGTAAAGGGGTTTAGGGACTATAGTGTACATTTGGAATTGTATTCAGAATCAAATCCTACAAGGACGTTGTAACTACCCAAATGCAACTAAAATGACATCAATTGTTTATGTAATACAGTAGTAAATGGTTCTTATGTGGTTTCTTCATTGCCACAATTATTCAACCCTTAAAGACTACCACTCTGAAGAACAGAGGTTCATACAGGTGCTTTCCATCAGGTATTGAAAACACCTGTGGATGTCACCGGAGCAGCAATCAAGCATAATAAGCACCAATTAGGCAGCTTTAAAATGACTGTGATACTCAGCTCCTTCTAGACATTTACTGGTGTGGTTACAAACATGGTGAAGGCAAGAGAATGGTCCAGGAAGACAAGAGAAGAGGTGATTTCTCTTCACAGGAAGGGCAATGGCTATAAGAAGATTGCAAAGATGTTTAAACATACCAAGAGACACCTTAGGAAGCATCATTCGCAAATTCAAGGCAAAGGGCACTGTTGAAACGCTACCTGGTCGTGGCAGAAAGAAGATGCTGACTTCGACTGCTGTGCGCTACCTGAAGCGTAGAGTGGAGAGAAGTCCCCGTGTGACTGCTGAGGAACTGAGAAAAGATTTGTCAGATGTGGGTACAGAAGTTTCAGCCCAGACAATAAGACGCACACTGCGTAATGAAGGCCTCCGTGCCAGAACTCCCAGGCGTACCCCCTTGCTGTCTCCAAAGAATAAGAAGAGTCGACTGCAGTATGCCAAAAGCCATGTGGACAAACCACAAAAGTTGTGGGATAGTGTTCTGTGGACTGATGAAACAAAATTAGAACTGTTTGGGCCCATGGATCAACGCTATGTTTGGAGGAGGAAGAACAAGGCCTATGATGAAAAGAACACCTTGCCTACTGTGAAGCATGGTGGAGGGTCAATCATGCTTTGGGGCTGTTTTGCTTCTGCAGGTACAGGGAAGCTTCAGCGTGTGCAAGGTACCATGAATTCTCTTCAGTACCAGGAGATATTGGATGGAAACGTGATGCAGTCCGTCACACACCTGAGGCTTGGGAGACGTTGGACCTTTCAACAGGACAATGATCCCAAGCATACCTCCAAGTCCACTAGAGCATGGTTGCAGAGGAAAGGCTGGAACATTTTGGAGTGGCCATCGCAGTCACCAGACTTAAATCCGATTGAGAACCTCTGGTGGGACTTAAAGAAAGCAGTTGCAGTGCGCAAGCCTAAGAATGTGACTGAACTGGAGGCCTTTGCCATGAAGAATGGGCGAAGATACCCGTAGATCGCTGCAAGACACTTGTGTCAAGCTATGCTTCACGTTTAAAAGCTGTTATAACTGTAAAAGGATGCTGTACTAAGTACTAAGATTGAATGTCACTTGGGGGTTGAATAAAACTGATAATGCTGTGAGCACAGAAAAGACATTTGTGGTTATTTCATTATAACTGTTATGTTATATTTGTCTGACCTACAAGTGCCTCTTTAATGTAAATGTAAGCAAGATGACTGAATGATCAAAAGCAATGTCAAACTGGCCAAAACACTCAATTTCAGTGGGGGTTGAATAATTTTGGCCACAACTGTATGTAACAATGGCAAACTGTGTTGCTTTGCATTGCTCATACCGTTACATAGTAGCTGAGGTTATAATAAAAATATCAGTATCCATATAATGGAGTTTCACCTCTTGCCATCATATAGATAATTATTGGAAAGTCTGTAGTTTTATGTAGATCAAGCTGTAACAATGTTTTCCATCTCCTATCATATTCAGTTATGACTCATTCACTGACTCTTCCCGGGATGACATGAAGAGGAAATTTGCTCTGACCATGGAGTTTGTGGAAGAATATCTCAAAGAGGTTGTGAATCAGCCTTTCCCCTTTGGTGACAAGGAGAAAAATAAATTAACCTTTGAGGTACTGGGATTATGTCTGTGTCTCAACAGAAACCTGTCAGTAGCAAACATGTTATGCACCATTTTTCTATTGAAATGTTCCTTGCACCTCTGGGGCTCCTCTAATGTTTATGTATTATGCAAATGCATACCTGAAACCCATGTCAGAGGTCCAACACAATCCCCACATCCTTTTTGTACATAATTTGCTGTTTTAGTCCTCTATAAATGCTGATTAGGGATGGGTTCAGGTGTGTTCAGATACTGTACTAGTCCATAACCATCTGAGCTATCACTGCAAACTGCCATTCATAAGTGGCCAAGGCATTCCCCACCCCTGGCCATGCGTATACATGCCCTTTGTATATGTGTGTCTGTGGATGGGGAATGCCTTGGCTGCTTATTATTGGCAGTTTCCAGTTACAGCTTCCTGACGGCATAGCTAATGCATGTTCAGACATCTGTCCGAATACACCTGAACTTATCCCAGGTCTTGACCATTACCCGTTTATGAGCTTGTTGGGCTTATCATTCCAAAATGATGCCCATGGATATAAAATTTCCTACTGCAACCTCCTTCTATTGGAATTTTGGAAAATGTCTATGAGAATTTGTATCCTTTCAGCAAAAAGAGCGTTTGGGAGGTCAGGATGACAAGAACTGGCTCACAATCAGTTTTTGTCTTTAGGAAGCTGGCTTTGTAAATTTGGGCACAGTCAGGTTCAACAGATAAGGACCTTCCCCAAACTGTTACCATATGGTTGGAAGCACACTGTTGTCTAAACTCCTCACTGGAAACACCTGAACTCAGTCATTTGAATGGGTTTCCAATTACTTTTGGCCATATAGTGCAGGCTGAAACGAACCTTTATTGAAATTAGGTTTGCACCAATTTTGCAGCTATACACCTGATCTGAATGCCGCTAGTGATAATCGGGTCACTAGTGGCATCTGTGACCATCTCCTAACAAAAACGTTTCCTTTCATGAGCATTGACTGAATGTGACCAAAAATGGTTTTGCCTAGTGTTTTTTCCATTAACCTTCACATTCTCCTCCAGGTTGTCCATCTGGCCCGAAATCTCATCTATTTTGGATTCTATAGTTTTAGCGAGCTGCTACGACTAACTCGGACTCTTCTTGCTATTCTTGACATTGTCCAGAGCCCCATGTCTTCCTACCTAGAGCGGCTGAGCAAGTTCCAGGATGGAGGTGAGATTTGAACCAGCTTTTTGATGTTTTCCTGTCCCAACAGCAAATGTAAAGGCACAAGGATGATCAGTGTCTGTAAAAAAACATATAGGGCAACTCCACCCACAAACTGATATTTGAGCTTTGCACAGTCCAGTCATTGGTGCATTACACAGGCTGCAAACCAAGAAGCAAGGTAAGCTCAGAAAAATGACTTGAATCTGAGATCAGTTCAAAATACATATACATTCATTTCTAGTCAGTGTGAGATATGTTTGAGATGCAAGTGGCTGTTTTTTACTAAATCTGAATAATTTATATAAATCAACCTACGTTTCACTAAAAAAAAAGCCATAGTTTCAGGACCATATAAGGCAGATATGACTGGACAGACAAATCAAAAATCTCTGTGCATCCCCAAAGAAAAGTAAATCTTTCACCCTTGAAACTACAAATATCATAAATCTTTTCTGCAATCTTTCCCCAAAACTCAAATTCTACTCCAAATCTCCAAGATAAATCCAAAGAAATGTCCACAATGCAAAGTCCACAAAATGTCCACACTATTCAATCTTCCAAATGTGATAAGTATCTACTTCGCCACTTCAATCCAAGATACCTCAAAAAAATTTAAACTAAATATAGTGCATTATCTTTCAAATAATATAATAATCTGTGATGTCATGCAAAAACACTCGTGACATACAAAAAAAATAAAAAGGAGATAATATATTTGTAAAATAAAACAAAAATTATAAATATAAATAACTCCAATTATACAATATTATAAACAATGTGTGTGAGGTGAACCCACCTATATGCCCCACACGTGAAGTTTAATAAATTTACACAACTCAACTTGTGATATAGTGAGTTAATCACTCCAACAGGTGAAATCACAGCAAATCCAAAATATACAACTAGTGATAAGGTGCACTAGTCCAAATTGGTGCCACCACTCTGCTAGGATAACATGATATTACCCTCTTGCAGCTTGCACAGGCGTTTCACACAATCCCAAATGCCAGATGGCTTTCCTCTTAAGGGAGTACGCAGTGGAATCCTCCCCACTCCTCAGGGCAGGAGTAAACTCAGTGAATGAAAATTCAAAATTTAATATCTGCTTACATATAAAAGGGTAAAACCGTCCATCCTATTCAAGAACCACATCTAAGATGGCCGCGCTGCTCCTTCCGGTTTTGCGTCCGACGTTACGTCGCTGACGCGTTTCGTCACTTCCGACTTCTTCCCTTGAGCATAACTGATACTACAGGTTTCCTGTGTAGCCTATATTCCTATATCATAGGGGGTCAAGTGTTCATTCTGTTTAATGATCAATAGTTACTCCAAACTATAAACCACTTCTGATTTTAGTAGCATGATTAAATCCCCTCGTAGTTGTCATAAGAACAAGTGCCCTCATTGGAAGATTTCACCTATATTCCTGTTCTGGTGGCAATTTACAATTTTGAATTTGGTGATCAGGGCAAATAGAGAGGGTTAACCTCCCTCAGACACCAATATAAACCTGACAAGGGTTCCAACCCATTACCACTCTATCCAAATCTAAAAAACAATATAATTTACAGCCTTAGATGTGGTGACTGCATTTGTTTTGTTTTTTGACTCTTTTTTTACCTAGTGATCATGATAGTAACACACATTCAGTTCTAGGGTGACAACACTCACTGTACTGTATCTATGAGAGAGCAGTATTGTCACCCCAAGACAGGAAGGGTGTTAGTACTAGAGAGCATTCTTCTCTATAATGGGGGGAAGGGGGGGGGGGGTGTAATCTGTACTCCTCAGAGATAGCTGAGAATAATAATAACAGTCAGTATGGGCAGAAGACACAGGCAATTATCATCTCAAAGCTTCTGGCAGGGTCAACAGGTATTTTTTGCATTTATCAAACAGATATAACAAAACAATTTCAACTGTAAACTTAACAGAGGAGCAAATAAGTGAAGTTCGTTGTTAGAGTTTACATACCCTTCAGAAATTATTAAGCCGTAATGAAGGATGGCATACTGAACCCCCGAAACATATTTCATAGAGCTCTGCATCTAATAAACATCATCCCTATTTAAATATTTGGTGTTACCATATCCCCTTTTCTTTTAAAGCATTAAAAACCTAATAGAGGTTCTAAAAAAACCCAACAAATACAGTAATGCGTTTATTAAATGAACTTTTTTTCGGACAGAAAAGTAGAGGCCCCATTGGTGACCTTTTCTGAATAGACTGGTTGTCAGGCTGTTTTGCTAGTTCTGTTGGTCCATTACTTTATGGGTCCCTGACTCATCCAAATAACCATAAAACAAAAAAAGATGATAAACCACTTTATCAGAGCTGCCATTATTGCACATACACAGATGTGCCCATGATCTCTGCCCGAGCTTAAGGTCCTGGCAGAGCCCATGGGTACATCTGCACACAAGCAGGGTGTTTTCCATGCATGTGCAGACAGGGAAGGTTTCAAACTAGCCTGTTAGCAGTCTTTGCGCGTATGTGGGAAGCCATGCACGTTTACAGATGGATGGGAAACCTAACGCTTGCATAGATGTGCTGCAGGGCTCTTTCGGGACCTGTGGCACATCTGCGCACATGCAGGGGACTTGGAGAACATCTTGCCTCGGTCAGAAATGTGGACGTGCTACTTTTCAGCACAAATATACTTCATTGTAGATCGAACTTTGGCTGATTCGGCAGGAAGTGAACAAAATTCTATTTCTCTATGACTAGCTTTAGGGTTTACATCCACTTTAAAGTGAACCTGACCTCAGAAAAAATAACTTCTGAGTGTCAAATCTGATTTGTTAATAGAACACCAGTTAATACTTTTCTGAAAGTTGCTAATTGGATAGGGCTAAGGTACCCTGATAGCGATTGACCGCTTAAGCAGCAAGAATTGTTTTGTGGGAGGACAGTGCTGGAAGTGCATTTGAGCCCCATATGCAGAAGAAGCGGCTTTTACACCAGGCCTGATTGTAAAGCTTCTGAAAGGAAGTTGACATTGATAAGGTCCCTCCGTACCACAACTCTGTTAGTTTGATTTAGCTGAGCTCAGCATTGCCCAAACATTGATCTGAAAAGTTCTATAATAATCTTTAGAAATCTTCTCTGATGCCATCTGATTATTGTCTCAAAAAACTTTTACCTATTACTTATCAAAACTTGTAACCTGGATGCCTTCACCCGCCCCCGGCCTCTGTGCTAATCTGAGAACAATTATAGAACATTTAAATACCTTCTATGCAATACTATAGGATCTTAATGATCTCTTTCTCTCTCTCTGTGGCTTATCAGCACTTTTTGAACTTCAGGCTGAAAGAATCTGATAAATTTAATTTTCACCGCCATGTCCTTAAAATTCATCTTTCATTGTCTTACATGAAGGTGCGCGGACAGCACATTGTCCACCGCCTCTTCAGATATCCATATTAGCGCTATTGAGTCATCTCAGTGGCCCATAAATCTTGCCCGGTGTTTTTCAGCTGTAATTTTTGCCGTTTTTCATTTTTTTCCTCCCTTCCTCCTTATCTGCGAGTCTGAAATGGTATGTATTCCCCTTTGTGTGTCGCTGGCTCTTATCATATCTTTTCAACCTGAGAGGTAGAATGTGTCACTCATACAGCTGGCAGGTTAATGAGCTGATATCATCGGCAGTGGCTCCAGGGCATCCATTGTCTTGCCAGTCATTAGCTAGCCTTGCATCAAGAACCGCCAGTTCATTGTGCGCATGAAAAGGCAAACTAGATCGTTCCAGACAGCTTGCTGCGTTGCTTGCATGTCTTAATAGTTTTCTGGGCGCTTAATTAGCCCGAGTTTAAACTGTCGATTTGTATCATGCAGAATACTACTTGGCTTCTTTGGAAAAGAGAAAGGGAAAGAAGTTTTCCCTAAGAGCCAATAATTCCTAAAGAAGTACTCCTTCCTAAAGCTGAACCCAAGGCAGTTTATAAAAGATACATACTAATTCAGCTCTATATTCATTAATAAATCTTTAAATGCGTGTTAAATACAAACAGTGAAAGTTTCTGAGTATTACTTGGTATCAGAGTATTATGCTGTCCAGAAGAGCTCAGACACGGACAGGGAGAAGTAGCACAAGGAGCCAATCAGTTGTGCTGCAGTGCAAAAAGCATGCAGATAGGAGGAGAACGCAGAGTGACAGAGTCATTCGCACCTCAGTCTACTGCTTCTCCTTTCACTATTCAATCACAGGCCAAGGGAAGAACAAGACCTGTTCTGTGTGGCAGAACTGTGTAAATCTTAGGATTCGATGGACAGAAATACAGACCCTTTGGTAGGTAAAACAACTCCCTTATACTATATGTATTTTATCTGTGCATTTAGCTGTTTGCTTGGAGTCCAGGTTTATATACATATCTCAACTGTTTTATCATTCACGGTATGAGTAGATTTGTGCAGCCACTGTTGAGATTTACACATCCCCTGTGCCTGAAACATGTTAGATTGATACCCTTGTGCAGCACATATCGGCTCACAGTGCAGGACGTTCCACTCCCACTGTCTGATTACAGTACTTCTGTGCAGGTGATTGTGGGATGGTAATCTTTACATATATATTAGTCAATTTTGCTATCGCCATTTTAAATACATTAAAGTCATTTACTATAAACAAAATAGCTGGTCCCCTGGCAGGTTTAAGTCATACTCTACTTGTATGCACTGACATGTACAGCTCAGATCACATTACCTGCTGACAGTCAGGGGGGTCCTTTATGACAAATCCTGCCTGTAAGTGAATTTTACATTCCAATACTTTACTACCACTTTAAATAATTTGGAGTGTAGATGTAAACCCTAACTGGATTACATTTAGTTTGCTCTGGGCAGAGACAGGACCAATCACCCAGCATAAGAAGAGAGAGTAGAAGTGAATGGTCTTTATTATAGGAAGCTCCTGCACAGAGGAAACGTTTCACACTGGATTACTGCACAGTCCTGGATGAATTACAAAAAATACACCAAGATTTAACTAGGAATAAGCACGAATCGTGTATCTAGACAATTTTTGCATATCCTGGAGTCCAGCTTTAGGGAAAATAATTTATGCACTCATGGCCTTCTATGAACAGTGGTTAGTGGCTGCTTTCAGGTACAAGCTGTAATCTCTCACTACTGTCTATGTGGGAATTAAGCTGAAAAATAGAGATTTGTCCTTTATATTTTGCTAATAATTGTTGGCTACCACTAGACATCTACAAAAAATGTTGCTCAGCACTGTTCAAACCAAATTTTGTGTCTGACTTCTTTACCTAACCCTTCCATTTACTTAAAACAAATCTTAATGGCTGTTCTGCTGAGTTTACATTGTGGTACCAAAGTTTAAAGATGAACTTCAGCCTTCCCTTCAGTCTTGCACAGTTGTACAGGCTCCTCTCTCCTGTACTAAAATTGCTTTCTGATTTCACTGCACACTGTGAGTTTCTAGTAGTGTGAATTTGACACTGCAACAAATCAGAGAGAGCCCAACTCATTCCTGGCTGAAAGGATATCCAGGATCATCAAACCCTTCCCTCGTCATCCTGACTGTCCCTGGCCCGCCCCTTTCATTCATTGGCTTTCAGTTCTTTCAATCATTAAGGTTCAGCATCGCATTGCATAGAGAAGCACAGACATCATACGGTATGAAATGAGAATGAAAAGGTTTTTTTTAATTATGCCATTAGCATGTTGATGGGGGGAACCAGAGAAAGCAACATGTGAGCAGATTAAAGAGGAGCTCCACGCTTCCCCCCAAAAATTAAAAGCAGCTACTTACCTGTCCAGTTGTCTAGCGCCATCCTCACATGGTCAAGTTCTTCACTAGTCTCTGGGTTCCCGGCATAGCAAGTAAGGGAAACCGGAAGTGAAGCCTTGCGGCTTCACGGCCCGTTTCCTACTCTAAGTGTGTGCCTTGTGTGCCGAACTGTGCCTTGTGAATGGTCCCGTAGTCTTCTGGGACCTGTGAAGTGTCCCAGAAGACTGCGGGAGAAGGAGAGGGACAGAAAACCAGGTACCCCCCCCCCCCCCCCCCCCACAAAAAAAAGGGCCAAATGTGGCAGGCAGTGAAGGAGAAGAGGGTGCAAACAAGTGAGGCTTCCCCTTTTGGGTGGTGCTTCGCTTTAAACTTCAGCTTTAAGTCACTAAACTTTGTTAGAGAAAACACGACAAATGTCTTTGAGGCGAAGAAGCAAAATGTATTGTTAAACAAAAATGGCTAGATTTGAATTTTAATTTTTGTATTATGGCATTACAAAAATTGTGCAGCCTTGATGAAGTGGGTGTGTTGGAATTCTGCAGAGAGACCTCTGCTACAACACAGAATCTACAGCATTTTGCCTGGGGACAGGCTTCTCTACTCTGTGGTTGTTTTCTGTAAAGCAAACAAGCTATAGGGCTTTGCACATCTTTTGTTTTGAGGCACACTGAATGTAAAAGTTAGATTGGGTTTCAAATATTTCAATCTCAAAATTTGAAATTGTCTCCATGTTGTGATTTCAGGGAATAATGTCATGAGAACAATCCATGGGGTTGGAGAGATGATGACCCAGATGGTCCTCAGCCGTGGATCTGTCCTTCCAATTGCAGTTCCAGATGTTCAGCCCAGTCTGCACACCAGCAAGCAGACTAGTGACAGCGAGGACATAACCGTGATGGACACTAAACTGAAGATCATTGAGATCCTACAGGTAGGGAATATATAATATGTATTAGGATGATATGCCATAGCTCAACTGAACTGAAGATGATTGAGATCCTACAAGTAGGGAACATCCATGCGAAAAACAAAAACCTGTAAGTGAACAAAAAACGTGCAAGTGCAAAACACAAACACAAAAAAGTGCACTTAGGGGTGTGCTTTAGTTCACCTCTTGAAGGGGTAGGACTTCTATCCTGAAGCAAGGCTCTGGACAGGGACAAAGGTTTTCTCATGGTCCACCTAGCCAAAAGGCCTGGCGGACCCCTTTCCTTGTGGCTAGCCAAAGCCGACTGGCCTGTTGCCTAATTCAAATCTAGTCACCTGGCATAGTCTAATGGGGTGCCACTTTTGAGGCCCCTGTGGTCAATTGAACAACAATACCCACCCTTCTTTACAGAGACTATCTTAAAGAGAAGTAGTACCAGAGTTTGCAGCTGTGTGAGTCTGCAGGGTGAGTAAGTATTGCTGTGGACCACTGTGCCAGCAACAGAAAGTTCTCACTTTTTCAAATCAATTAATTCTTCTTTAGCTAATATAGTCATACCTGCTGGCTTATGAAAGATAATGTTTGCCTATTTTTTCTATCTTTACCCATTTTGTCCTGTTCTTGAAAGTCAGGGGTGAAAGGTCACCGGTAGTTACTGCCTTCACCACTGCTTGACCTGACACATAGGGGTTATTTACTAAAACTGCATGGTGCAAATCGGATGCAGCTCTGCTTAGAAACCAGTCAGCTTTCAGGTTTCATTGACAAAGCTAAATTGGACAAGCAAAAGTTAGAAGCCGATTGGCTGCCATGCACAGCTGCACCAGATTCTGAGTGCACCAGTTTTAGTAAATCTCCCCCACTGTTTTACTTGTTTGACACTGATATGTTGGAACTGGGAGACAATGTATAATAAGGCCAGGAAGTTGACAGGGCCACACCTTTCAGACTTCAGGTGACATCTGACCCCTGACTGTCTATGTCAAGTGTCAGACTCAGACATGACAAACCTAAATAAGTGTTTTAAAAGTGATTTTTTTTTTACAAATGAAATTGTGCAGTAATAACATTTTAGAACAGCAGCCAGCAGAGAGGGGAAGATCTACATTTTAAAGGAGATGATTTGTAAGTGATGATAGGTCGATAATATAAATCATGCATTGGTTGATGTTGTGCCCCCCTTTCCCCTAAGTAATGTATTCCTTATGTTGGTGGTCAATGGGGACCCCTACAAATATATGTTGCGCTCCTAAATACTTCTCAATAAATAATAATTAAATTATTACCATTAAATTAATTCAAATTATGATACAAATAACTAATAAAAGTGTATAAATACCAAAAAATATTTAAATAGATAGTTTCAACTAATCAATCTCCTCCAAATAAATATCAAAATAATTCCACATGAAATACTCCTCTAAAAAAATATATTTTACCAAGTGCTCATAAATAATCTATTAGTGACATGATGTACTTACTAATACCCTCAATTTCATTTATATTCATAATACCCTCATTTAATATAATAAAAATAGTAAACCAACTAATAACCCTCAACTAAAACGCATTTAAATGATTCCCCATAAATAAAAATAACCAAATGCTTTCTTACAGAACCCTAGTAACAACCCCTCCTTTATTGGTGGTCGGTGTGCCCGTATAATAATACCCCCATTATATTGCTCCACATTAATATGCTGTTTATCGCGTTGGTAAGTACCCCCAGTGCCACTATTATGTCCCCCCCCCCCTTGCCACTCTGCTACCCCAGTACCAACATTATGTCCTCCCAGTGCCATCAATATATCCCCCCAGTGCCACCATTATGCCCCCGTGTCACTCAGTCACTCCAGTATCACCATTATGTCCACACAGTGCCACCAATGTATATGTCTAGTGCCACCATTATGTCCCTGTGTCACACAGTCACTCCAGTATCACCATTATGTCCCCACAGTGCCACCAATGTATATGTCTAGTGCCACCACTATGTCCCCACGATGCCACCAATATATATCCAGTGCAACCATTATGCCCCCCTAGTGCCATCATCATGTCCCCTATAGGAATTGCTTACCTTCCTTCTGCGCCATATGCAGAGCAGTACAGGGAAGTAGTGGAGAGTCATAGCTACCTCATCTGCTGCACTGGTCCCCATCGCATGCAATGCCACATAAAAGAGCATAGGGCAGAGGAGGAAAGGGGGGAGAAACTCTGCAGAAAAAGTAGAAATGTCATGCCGCACCTTCCCTGCTCTGTTCTGCATAAAGGATGGGGGGAAGGTAGCATTTCTGATCAAGTCAGTGAGGATGCGATCTACCAATCACATGGCTTTGATTGACTGGTTGATTGTAATCGAACTGTTGCCGACCCACGATTCAGACTTTTTTAGTCTTGGCTATAGTAGAGGAGGATTAGAACCCCTTGGATTTTTGTTATTTGTATCTTTTATCTTGCTGAGGAGATTCACTGTCTATTTGTCTTGGTGATCACTGTCAAATAGAGTCGAACAGAAAGTGATGGAAATCTAATATGTTACAGTGGTCACTGGAACAAGAATTAAGGGGAAATTGTCTAAAGGGGACATGTGTTGCAGTGACAACTGTCTTAGAGGAAAATTCCCTTCGCTTTTTTTAAGATTACCTCTCATTTCCCACTGGGTATCCAGAACAGAAAGTGAAGGGAAATCTTTTTGACGGGACACAGACGGTAATAGGTAAACTAACAGATTTTAACCCTTTTCTATTCTATTCAAAACTGAATAAAGAGTTTTGTTAGACCGTGCACGTTAAAGGGGAATATTCAGATTCTTGCATAAGAGCGATCATGGTTGCTTTTTATTTTTCATAATTCGACCCTAAGGCCAAGGCACTCTCTCTTTATCCTAAACCTAACCTTTCACTGTAGGCCTAAAAAACGAATTGCCCTCTCTGCCTTTATTCTAGTGTCTTTAGACAGTCAGCATAATGTGAGATGTGCTTTCATTTTTGAGAAACTTTTGTTTAAAAGCTTTCTGATTATTATACAATGAAATGACAGCCATTTTCTTGCTTCAGTTTATTCTCAGTGTACGGCTGGATTATAGAATTTCATATATGTTGTCCATCTACAAGAAGGAGTTTGGAGATAATGGAGGCACTGTGGACAACTCAACGATTTCAACAACCTCACCACCAGACACGCCAACCCTAGCAGGTGGGTGGCAGCTCTCTGTTGTCATTTAGGTGTTTTCAGTACATAATGTCTTCTCAGCAGAGGCCTAACTTTTTTACTAGATGGTGGCCATCTCATGCACTGTCCAACCACTGAAAAAGAAAAACATGTGTGCACTGGGTGAGCATTCACCCTTCTACCGATGGAGCAGGAGGGGTGAGCTCTCAAGCACTGGCTTGTCTAGGCAGAAAATAGCGATCGGCTAGGAAATTCCATCCCAGCTCAGTGAATGATTACATGGAAACCTGTATCCTACAGGATATGGCACCTTTATTTTTTAATTATAACAAGGCTCATGAGAGCATCACTTAAATGTACAGGTAAAGTGGCATACCCCTTTAAATATTTTGAAAGGGAATCCTCTACTTTATCTATTTGGAAAATTCAGCATCTCAACAAATGAATATCTGCTTGACCATGTGAAAAATGATTTGAATCACTGAACCATGTGTTCACTATTACAGCAGATCAGCAACTGTAATAAATGTATAAAACAGAAGAAAAGCGAGCACTAAAACCATCAGCAGCTATTGCACCAATAAAAGGCAACCAAAAACAACCTTCCAAAGTACTCAAATAAATATATAGGTGCAGCGCTAGAATATCAAGGTTGTCACAATGATGTACAATGCACAAAAATGATAATAAATATTGAACGAATCATAAGTAGCGAAGTGCAAATACAGTGCAAATAATCACAATAAGGTACTGATAAAGTGATAATGGTGAGCACACAATGGTGCTAATGGATCTATGTATCAATTAATATTGCACAAGTGTCCACAGATAAATGGTGAAGATCCGAATTGGTCTCAAATAAGTGCTCCAAATGGTAATCATCCAGGTGGTGTGCTGTGAATATGTTAGGATTACGCACTCACCAGATGTGCAATCAGAGTACGCATTTGTATGTATAATATCAGCCGGAGGTCCCCTTAAGGATATGTACAGCCAGGTCTGGTCAGAAAACCTCACTTCCCCTGGGTCATCTGCCGCCACTCAGCCGTCCTCCAGAATGGGCTCTGTGATGGTGTTGGCTCATGTAGAGCCAGAAAGAAGGATGCCCATAGTGTAGTATGTTTTTAAATGTTACTCGTTTATTCCAATCAAATAATCAATACACTGGGCATGAGAGCAAAGCTTGGTCAATTTTCTAGCTGTACTGGGAACTTAGTGTGCTCTCCTCCAATGATAAGACTTCTACTCACACGCCAACACCCCCTCCCCGCACAGCCATTCACTGAGAAGTTCAGCATGATTCCATTTCTCCTCTGTGTTCTCAGCTGTATAAGGAGCTTAGAGGGTATGTGATTCCCAAAAAAGGGAAACATGGTATTTAGAATGTTTTTATATCTAAACACAAATGTTTTGTTTTGCTTTTCATTTCTATTTTAAACTGAATAGGTTGTTTTACAAGATGAGGGATTACATATACTTTAACTTCTTCTCCATAGTCTAAGATTGACACAAGTTTCATTTTTTTTTTTTTTTCTAGCCGTTGTTCCTGATATTGATGAAATAGCAGCAAGAGCTGAGACCATGTTTGCTGGAAGGTGAGTTAATGCACCAGTCCACCTGTACCTGCACTTAAAGTAAAGCTACAATCAAAACTTTTTGCCTTTAAATTCAGGATAGTGTTGAAGGGTCAGAACAGGTATATACAACTAAAGGCATTGGTGCCTGGATGGGCACATGTTGTCATTTTCAATGGCTTCTGTAAGAACATCATGTGACATGCATTTTTGCTCAGACTGGCCTGCTGAAGGATCTTCTGGTGGGCCACTGCTGCCATAGACATGTGTATGACAGCTCACTAAGGTATCAATTACAAAACTTGGCCTGCCTGTTTGTGCCCATGGCCCACCCACCTCCATGAAATTTCTTAGAGGCCTGACTGATGTCACTGATGTGTAGGGGCCATCCTTCCTTCCAATACCAGTGTATAAAACAAGTATTTTGTTACATTTCATCAGTTCCTTCTTGGTTTCCAGGCCTAGAAAAATGATGTAATACATCCCAGGAGTTTTCAGAAAGGGAGGTGGGGTTTTGCTAAGCACACCATCCTGCCTGCATGCCTCAGCTAATGGCAGATGGATTCCAGGAAGTAAATGCTACATTATTCATTTTGCCCTTACTCAACATGGACATGGCCAGAAATGCTAGATGGTGTTTTTCAAAGTAATTTCTAAATGAAGACATGGATGGATGGGTGAATTTGGACAAAAATTAATTATTGCATAGATGCATGAAGGTAAAAAACCTTGAGCCTTTACAATCACTTTCCCTTCCACTTCCCCAGCAGCATATACTCAGTTTTGTTTGTTGACAGCTGAAAAAGCCAAGTAGCAGTAAATACATTTAATATGTCTTGTTTATATGATGCCAGTAGGTTACACAGTCCTTAACAAAGAGCACAGAGCCATCACTATAGTCATTGCCCCCAAGGAGCTCACAAGCTAATTTCTCCAACACACACACACACACACGCACACACACACTAGGCCAGTTAATCTTAACATATGTTTATTATAATAAATATGATAGTAATACACCAATCCTGTGTTTTTCGATGAGAACTCTGTCTTTTTAAAGGAGGAGCTTACTAATATAATACTAATAGTGAGACATCTGTTACTGCAGCTAATGGGATGCTGTTCCTATACCGATTTCACTAGATTTCTGAGGTAGTATCAGAGGGTAAGAGGGTAAGACTATGTTCTCTATGGACTAGTGATAAAGTTTGGAGTTTTGCCAGAGTTTAAACATACAATCTTTTGAAACACATTCACTTTCCTTGTTAGTTATGAATGTGTATATCCAGCATTGTCAATCCCCAGCATTATTTTTCTCTTACCTTGTTCCTGAAACTGCTTTCTTTCCTGTGTCTTCATCTCCAGGCTTGTAAATTTCTTGTAGAGGCATTTGTTGGGAGCTCAGTTCCTGTGTGTGTGTAGGCACACTTTCAGAACTACATTTCCCAAGAGCCTTTTCTCTACACGCCACGTGTGGGCAAGCTCTTTGAAGTCAAGGGAGCAGCACTATTTTGCTGGTAAAGAAATTAATTAAAAGCATGTGGAAAGGGAGAGAGAGGGTCAGGGACAGAATTCTATAGTCCAGCAGGCAGGTCTGACAACAGTGGTTATGATTTTGCCTCAGCAAATGCAGTGTTGTCAGCCAGGAACAGGAAGTTAGGAGCTCTCTGGATTTCTGGTGAGTTGGCAGGTATTTTTCTGTGCTTGCAGCATTTTTAGAGAGGCTCAGCATAGAGAAATGTGTGTACAATGCAGAGCTGTGCTGAATACTTTTTTATTTTGCCTAGATGTACACTTTAATGATAGTTGTTGATATTCTTTCTAATGTTAATTCTAGCAAGGAAAAGAATCCTGTGGAATTGGACGACGAAGGTGGCAGGACCTTCCTACGGGTTCTCATTCACCTAATCATGCATGACTATCCACCGCTGCTCTCTGGGGCTCTTCAACTGCTTTTCAAGCATTTTAGTCAGAGGGCAGAGGTACTACAAGCCTTCAAACAGGTACAAAGGTCACTTGACCAACATCACAAAATCTACTTCTGTTTTGATTGCTCCACTTACCCAACTCATGACTTTTCTAGACAGGTTAAAGCTAATGTTTAATCTGCTTCTTTTTGCTTTTTCTGGTCCCTCCCTCCTCTTCTCATCAGCTTCATAATATTTTCATTTTTATTATTATAAATGTGCAAAAGTAATTTGCGCTAGTTCAGAAGTATTTTTGCACAACCCAGCAGTTAACAGAAAATCCTAATACTGGAATTGATCAAATTTGTCCAGAAAACAGTGTAGCGCTCAAAAAAAGATGAATGCTCAACTAATACCACGTAAAGATGTGAATAAACAAAACATATATATCACTAAAAATCAGCAAGATAAACAATTCGTAAGTGTAAATATTTCATACTTATAAATAAATATAAAGTGTAAATATTTCATGCTAATAAATAAATAAAAAGGTTATCTATAAAAGTTTCATCTCCGTGTGAAAATCTTCTATAGAATAACTGGATACTCTTCAAGTGATGGAATGATGAAACCGTGTTATCAACACATGCAAAAGTGTCACCCCCACACTGTGCTCAAAGAAGGCTTACGAGATGTGTTTGACCCCCATTTTACTGAGTAGTCAAAAACCGCTCAATGGTATCAAATATCGTCCATCACAGTTCCCTCCACACCATCAGATATGACACCTTAAATCTTGGTGTGCTTTGTAGAGAACACCCATTCTTGATGTATCAAACATCCAATTGTGACATGTGGGAAGCAAAAAAGCTATCTATAGCATAAAACTGTAACTAAAAATTGTATTAAAACAAAATTGCACTTACAAAGTACCTGGTATGAAACAGCACTATACAAACAAACTCCAGATCAATTCCCACATGGCTGCCAAGATGGCTGCGAAGATGCACGCACGCAAGGTGACTTATGCCCTGGCTCCGCCCATCACGTTTCATCAGATGTCAAAGGCGCCCGTCCGCCACCACTTATATAGGAAAACACTGGACAGAAGACCGGCATTGACTATGTTCCCCTTATGACCACAATTGGTTGCCATAGGACACGAGGCTCTCTGGGGCTCTTCAACTGCTCTTCAAGCATTTTAGTCAGAGGGCAGAGGTACTGCAAACCTTCAAAAGGGTACAAAGGTCACTTGGCGCTTTTCTGGACAACGTAGGTTAAAGCTAACGTTTAATCTGCTTCTGTTTTGCTTTGTCTTGTCACTCCCTCCTCCACTCATCAGCTTGATAATATTTTAAATAAAACTTTTCATTTTTATTACAACCCATTTTAGACCAAATATTGCAGCAGTGGGTCTCTGTGCTTCTCTCTTCAATGCAGGCAGATCATGACTGGTGGGAGGGGATGGCAGGGTGCTGTACTTAGCTTCCTGAAAACATCACAATAGCCTCCTTCAGTATTCCTATCATGAGCCCTTGATGCAAGCAGTGGACTGGATTTTCATAGGATTTTTCAGAGTTAGGCAAATATCAAACTGACTTTATGGGCTGGCATGAGTCTGGAGGAGTGGGCATTCCTAGGCTGCTTATATTTGCATGTAGAGCACCCAGGGCTGAAAGAACTGAAATTCATTGAATGGAAGGGGTGGATCAGGGACAGTCAGACTGGGGAGCAAAAAGGTAGATGATGCTGGATGTCCTACAGCAAAGAAATGAGGCTCCATCTGACTTGCTGCAGCTTTTAATGAACACTGTGTTTAAGCAATTTCAGTACAGGAGAGGAGCTCGCCTAACTGTGCAAAAAAAAAGGCCAGAGTTCAGCTTTAAAGTATTACTAAACCCATGACAACCCATGACCCTGCATTCACTATGTTTGATCTCCCACAGTACACACAATATAGGAATGCAGTATATATATATATATATATATATATATATATATATATATATATATATATATATATATATATATATACACACACCTTTTCTCATCAGCAGTATATAGAAGTCTTATGGCTTCTATCAGTGTCCAGCTGAGCACTGGTTAAGGCTGGTAGGAGTAGCTTTCATTTTCAGACTGTCCTATGAGGCTGCATGATCCCTGACCCTCTGTTTAGACAGTGCTGATTGGCCCTGTGTTGATCAAATGCACCCTCCCAAAGGGAAAAAAAAAACACACTAAACTGAGCATGTGCAGAGTAACTCATAGAGCTCTGTACTGTCAGTAGATGGATTGGGGACAATAAAAGAAGGGGAGGATCAAGAAGACAGGATCAAACAGCCTTTCTAAACAATGCTCAGGATTAACCCCTTAGGTTCCACAGTCAGTATAACAAGCATGCCTAGTGGGTTTAGTAACACTTTAAGGGCCTACGCATCAGCTTAGGTTGGCTATATAATGGTTACAACAATTATTGGCTATTAGACTGCAGGAGATCCACATGTAATAACACATGCTGCTGAATGAGATCTTGTATTTAGATTTCTTTTTGTTTCTACTCTCAGGAGTGTATTCTCAGTGTACTCCGTACATTAGTGCTAGTGACAGTGCCCTTCGTATTGGCATTCCATCTCATATAAAGTCCCAATGTCATTAATAATGTCACAACGTCACAACTCTATGTCAGGACCCATTTAGGGTTGCATTAAGTTGATATTGCACTTGGCATTATGGGTAAAAAGGCCTTTAGCAACTGCCTAGCTGTCCTGTATGATAACTACATCCCTGCCTTTATTGGCTATTAGGCTGGACAACGTCCACAGATTATATTACATGGTTCTGAGCATTCCTACAGGCAGAGTGAGATCTTGTATCTTCACATTATCCAAATAATATTTCTTCTTCTGTTCAGGTTCAGCTGCTGGTGTCAAATCAGGATGTCGACAACTACAAGCAGATCAAGGCTGACCTGGACCAATTACGGCTGACGGTGGAGAAGTCTGAACTTTGGGTTGAAAAGAGCAATAGTTACGAGAACGAGGAACTGGGAGACGGGCAGGCCAAGGATGGCAAAGAGCAGATTAATGAGGTGAATTAAGCGCTGAGCGGCTTGGCTTCTATTTCATTTACTGGCTGATTAAACAAAGGTCTGTAAATGGCAGAGACAAGATCTCTACACCCCCAACACGTACAATTATCAGCGCGAGAAACTGACAGAGCACTGAGAACAGAAGCGGGTCAGTAACTTAGTATGAGGGGTTTCAACAAAGCTCCAAGATCTATTAGAGCTGCCATTTTTTTTTTTGTTGCTTAACCCCTTGATGACTCATGGTCATCAAAGCCTAGATGCCTAAGCCAAATTTGGCGTACTTCAATTAACTTGCCAAATGGCATGCTCAGTGTAATGCCACTAATAAATTTGCATTCCTAAATAGTGTTTATATATATCTAAAGACACACCACCTGAGGGTGGTGATCCTGGGAATATCTGATTGCCTTGAGGGATCAGGAAGGAAATGTTTTCCCTCTGTTGGAACAAATTGGACCATGACTTATAATTTTTTTTGCCTTCCTATGTATCAACTGTGGGTATATGTCTCTGTTTAGGGAGATTTTCAGTTACTGGTTGGATTTTTTTTTCTTCAAACTTGACTAACTGTGCTACTTAGTCACCACACTTTTATTTGGTACACTGTTTGAAAGCTGTACTCCAGCCAGACAATCCTGCTGTTGCCCTGCTCATGTTTCCTATCATAGATGGTCATTTTTCACATGTAATAGTAAAACACGCTTTAAAATTGTTGTAAGACTCCTCAAACCATATACATATACACAGGGCTCGACAAATTCCAGGCACCAGGTCACCATGGTGACTAGAAATTGCATCCTGGCACCTGGGTTCACATACAACCTCTCGTTGATTTCAATGCAAAATTGCATCCCATTTGACTTCAATGTAAAAACGCCTCCTATTAACTTCAAGGCAAAGTTGTGTCCCACTGGACTTCAATGCAAAAATGCCTCCCATTGACTTCAATGCAAAATTGCTTCCCATTGAATTCAATGCAAAATTGCTTCCCATTGAATTCAATGCAAAATTGCTTCCCACTTGACTTCACTGCAAAAATGCCTACTGTTGACTTCATTGCAAAATCATGTCCCATTTGAATTCAATGCAAAAATGCCTCCTATTGACTTCATTGCAAAATCACGTCCCATTGACTTCAATGCAAATTTGCCTCCCACTGACTTCAATGCAAAAACGCCTCCCGTTGACTTCATTACAAAAACCCCTGTCAATAGCAACCCTATGTGAACACTTATCCCTGCATGCCACTCTACCACTCGTGAGACTGGAATGCACTGCTACAAACTTGCACAGGACCCTTTTTGTAATGACACTCAAAACACGATGCATGTATCGCATCTGTGTGAACCACCTCAATAGGAACACGTAGTATCTAGCCTGTCATGCCAATTTGTGTGTTTGAAAATGCATCCAGAATCACATATGTGTGAACCAGGGCAGCTCCATTCACTCTTGGGCTATTTGGGATTGTGACAGAATCACTGTGTTCACAAAATGTAGGTTCAGGTGCCACTATTTTCAATAGCACCTAAAACGTTGTAGATTTTGCCATGATTGTTGCACCACAAATCGCATTGTGTGAGGCTTGTTGCCCAAAAGTTGCCTTGCCCCAGATGCTGACAACCCTTGCTCTCCTAACTATTTTAGCTGGCTCCTTGATTCAAAAGCAGATTTGTCAAGCCCTGCATATACATATACTTGCATGCCTAACTCTAAGAAAATAATGATTTGCAGATAGTGATGCAGTTCTTAATTTACAGTATTTTTATTATACAGTACATTATTTTTAGTTGTCCCTGATTACGTAGTCATTACACACAAACAGCCATAAAGAGTGACGGTGCCAATTTCTATCCAGGCATGTGTACATTTCAGATAGTATTTATACAATCACATCAGTAATACTGGTATGGTATTAAAGAGGTCAGTGTTAAAATGTACAGTGGGTATAGAAAAACATTAGGGATGCACCGATACCCTTTTTTTTTATTGGCGAGTACGAGTACTGATCCTTTCAGTCAAGTACTCACCAATTCCGAGTACCCATACTTTGCAGTGCATTTTGTGTTAATGGACGCAAATTGCACTGCAAAGAATAGCATGCGATTTGAACAGTAATGCTCCACTTTCTTAAACTGAACCTCTCCAAAACCGAGCTCCTAGTTTTCCCCCCGGCCCGCGCACCCCCCCCCAATGACTTCTCCATCACGTCCAACAATGCCACCATCAGGCCCACCCCGCAAGCCAGAGTACTTGGTGTCATTCTTGACTCCAATCTATCCTTCCAGCCCCAAGTCCAATCGCTAACAAACTCATGCAGACTCCACCTCCGCAACATTGCCAAAATACGCCCATTCCTAACCCCAGAAACCACTAAGCAGCTCATCCACTCCCTCATCATGTCACGACTCGATTACTGCAACTCCCTCCTCACTGGCCTTCCTCGCCACAGGCTATCCCCGCTTCAGTCGATCCTGAATACGGCAGCCAGACTCATCCACCTTACCAACCGCTCCGTTCACGCCACTCCCCTCTGCCAATCCCTCCACTGGCTTCCGATTGCCCAACAGATCAAATTCAAAATGCTAACACTGACGTACAAAGCTGTCCATAATACTGCCCCAAACTACATCACCGACCTAATATCCAAATACCACCCAAAACGCACACTCCGCTCCTCACAAGACCTCCTTCTCTCTAGTTCCCTGGTCTCCTCCTCCTATGCCCGCCTCCAGGACTTCTCCAGGGCATCACTCATCCTCTGGAACTCCCTACCTCAATCCATCAGACTATCACTTACTCTCCTCTCCTTTACGTGCACCCTGAAAACCCACCTCTTCAGGGAAGCCTACCCCGCCCCCTGCTAATTGTCGATCTCCTCCACTCTTCCTACCACTCCATCCCCCACAGCTTTTCCTCCCGTACCACTATCCCCTCCCTCTTAGATTGTAAGCTCCAAGGAGCAGGGCCCTCGAACCCCTCGTGTATCGCATTGTATTGTTATTGTACTGCCTCATGTATTGTCTCCCATTGTAATGTACAGCGCTGCCCGAACTATTGGCGCTTTATAAATACTGTATAATAATAATAATAATGCGATTCCTGTCCAAATCCCATTACTTTTCCCCACTACTCGTGTGTAAACCCAAGCTTGTCATAGCCTGAGTTCACACAGAAGCAGTGCAGGAAACCTCTCTGCAGGCATCCTATACTGAGTGTCAGTGGTGAGAGAGGAGAGAAAGCAGTGAGGATTTGAAATCCCCGCTGCGTTCTTTCTTCTCCTTCCAGTGATGACAGTTCGGGCTAGATGGCATCTGATTGGTCAGCTGCTGATCCGCCAGACATATCGATTAGTGTTGAGGCCAAATATTTAAATAATTACATTTTAGTTTCATCTTACCATAACATAGAGACCTCTGTGGCCAAGCCCCGAAGGGTGAGGTGAAACGCGTGAGAGCGTGTCCAGAACGGCGGCTGAGGCCATTCCTCAGCATTGGACTCCTGGGGTCGGTTGAGCAGTGTCCATCCCTTCACTTGCATTGGCTGACACTGGAATTGCTCGGACTCGTGCTCCCCTCTTCTCACTTGCCAATGGGGTTATCTTTTTCCTTCCATCCACAGATTGGAGTGGTGCCATAAAGTATATTTTTCACTCAGAATCTTCAAGGTGCGTTTTGGCAAAGCTCAGTTATGACTGCATGTGGCCTTTCTTGAGGAGAGTTTTTTTTTTCTTTCAACCCTCCCATACAAGCCACATTTATGGAGAATTTGTGATATTGTTGTCAGATGCACACAATGACCACTCTTTGTCATAATTTCCTGCAAATGCTTCAAAGTTGCTGTAGGCCTCTTGGTAGCCTCTGTGACCAGTTTTTTCCTGGCTCTTTCATCCTGTTTGGAGCGATGTCCTGATCCAGGGAGGGTCTTTGTTGTACTGAAAACCTTTCACTTCTTAACACTAGACTTCACAGTGTTTCTAGGCATTGATAAAGCCTTTTGAAATTTTTTTTGTATCCATCTCCTGTCTTGTGCCTGTCCACAACTTTATCCTGGAGATCTTTTGACAGTGCCTTGCCACCCATAGTTAATTGTTTTCTTCAGTTACACGACCAGGAACTGAAATGTTCCAGGAAAGCTTGTTTCATGCTGAGCTAATAAAAATAACCACAGCTGATCACAGTTGAAAGTCAGATCGTTTGTGTGCCATTGAGAAGATGATCAGCTACACCTGATGGACTTTACAAGACATTTTTAGGAGGGGGTGATCCTTTTTCCAACTCAGCGATTCTGTTTTTTTTTTTTTTTCCTGACATGTCGGTGTTATATCTTTCACTTGGATGTTATTAGTTGCACTGAGTAAATACAGCTGGAAAAAAACAGACTGTTTCTGTCTTCATATCAGGCTGCAAAGCAACAAAATGTAATTATTTTAAACGGGGGGTGTGATACGTTGATTCGTTTCTATACCCACTGTAATGCAGTGAGGGTTTCTGCTTTTGTTTACAGTGTGTCAGGACAGTGCCGAGGTCTGTGCACTAAAATCAAATAACACACTGATAAGGTTAATGACTTAACATCACAGTGCATTATTTTATATGGTTCATTTATTGCACACTCTCATCACACTCAACCAAATGCAGAAGTAATTAGTGTATGCCATTAAAATATCATTTGGAGTGCTTAAAAGTTCTTGGGTTCTCAGCTCCTCCCACTGTTTAAAAAAAAATCTAAAATGAAAAATGAAACTCTCTTTAAATGTTTATCATGATTACAGCAGGAGGACAGAGACTGTGTGTTGAAAGCCAGTGTTATACTCATGATGGAAATAACTGTAGATTTTTTCCATGGTATGTGGGGATGAGAGAAATCGTAAGTTTTCACTCCCTTGAAATTCCCCCAAAATGCTTTGGAGTCATCAGATTGAGTTTTTACTTCAGAAAAATTCTAGAATCAAAAGTCAAAAATCAAAGTCAAACGTTTTGCAGCAAAATGAATTTTACCAAAGTCACTTCACATATCCCTATAGATTTGACTAGCCAGTGAGAGATTCTTTCTACTACTGCTTTGGGTGACATTATACTTTAGAGCTGAAGCCCAGGATAGGCACATATTATCTAAATGCAAGAGGCAGATTAGCTGCTTTATAAATATGCCCCTTGGTGTGCTTTGTGTATATCTTCCAGATTTGTGCAGTAATCCAGCGTGAAACTTTTCCTCTATGCAGGAGCTTCCTATAATAAAAAAACATTCACTGTTGCTCTTTCTTTGCGAAGGGTGACTGGTCTTGTCTCCGCCCTCCTGTAGTTTTTTGCAGGCCGCCTGCAGTGGGTGGAGCCTCCTGGGTACTTCCCACTGCTCTGCCTCTGCACAGCCTATGTACAGCACAGTGATGATGTCACTGCTACTTCCACAAGGTAATATCTGAGTTTGCAAAGGGATTAGGTGGATACAAAGTTGATATATATAATTTCTGGCTATTAAGGAATGTATTTAAATCAAGTTTTTGCGCCTGGAGTTCAGCTTTACATTTAGTGCCTGTATGAGACAGAAATTTTTGTGATACAGTAATAAAAAAAATTACAAGTGTAACCAAGCCTTTTCTGTAGCATGTTTCTGTGACGTTACTTCTTAAAGTGAAGGCTGCAGTGATAATGTCACAGACCATGCAAGAACAGACCTCTGCTGCAGTCTGGTATGCACCTTAATTGGAACTTTAGAGACAGCTAAGTGAGAAATGATGAATCACAGTGAGAATAACACAATGGAGGAGTGTATGTGATATGGAATCTCGTGCCTCCGTAATAATTATAATACAAATGCATCTGACCTTCTCCTGTTCTCAGACTGTAAGCTCTCCAGGACACTGGTCCACTTCACTGAGGAGTTTGTAATTGTTAAAGAGTACTGTATATAAACCCAAAAATGGGAAAAAAAATTGCAGAATTGCACCATATAAGTCCTTAAAAGTGATGTCTGCATTAGTTTTCTTTTTTATGCATTCATAACACACTTCCTCTACCAAGCGAATTCTGTATAACCACCCTGTTGGTTTTTCCACATTCGATCAGCACTGCTGGCTATAGCTGGCAGCACTGATCAGTGTATTCTGCCAGTGGGGGAGTCTTCTTGCTGTCAGAATACAATAGTTCAGCGAGGAGGATTCTTTCAGAGTGTGTGGATGGGAGAATCGAGTCATTTTTGTTTGTTCAACCTGCTGGATGAACGAAAAGAAAAGATAAATGATGCGTCTATGGGTTGCCCTAGAGCAGTGTCTCTCAACCTTTTTTCATCAAGGCACCCTTTTTAAAATTATGGACAATCTTGAGGCACCCCAATATAAAATGTAAAAAAACCTAAACTAATAGTTTTACATAACTCGGCAACATCTACACATGTAGGACTCCTAAGAGATGATTTATTTTTCCAAAGCAAATACACCTTTGCACGCTGGTACTGTCTAGTATTCCAATGTTTCTCATCTCTGTCAATCAGCTAATGTGACCCCAGTACTGATGGGTAGGGGTAGGGAAGGGGCAATCAAAGCTGCTGTGCAGGCACCCAACTTCCTCCTTATTAAGTTGATGATATCATTGGTTGTTAGCATGCCGGTAGATGGAAGGTAGTAATGGTTCACCATGAAAATCTTTGGCTTTGGCCAGGCAGGCTTGATCCTTCCACTGGCTTGCATGCAATTTTTAGGCATTTGGCCAAGGCACCCCTGAAGGCACCCCAGGGTGCCTGGTCACCCTGGTTGAAAAATGTTGCCCTATAGTGAGAGACCTCACTCATTTTACTGTGGAGAAGCAACATTGTCACGCTGGGACAGGAAAAGTGTACAAAATGTTATCAGCTCACAAGAATTCTGGCAGGTAGGTATTTTTTGCACTCCTCAAACTTATAAAACAAAATATGTTCAATCATCTATTTAAAAGTCTGAAAGAGATCAGAGTTAATTGTTAGGATTTATGTATACTTTAAAAATAAACTTTGCTCTAATTACAAGACATGTAATTGTTTTAAAAATAAGAGATATATTGGGGATTAGTAAAACACAATTAGAAAACCGTCACCTTAAAAAATAACCCATTCAGTTTAAAATAGAAATGAAAAGCAAAACATTTGTGTATAGTTATAAAAAACATTATAAGTACCCCCCCCCCCCCCCCCCCTTTTTTTTTTAAAGGTGATCACTATCCTCTGTTCTCAGCTGCATAAGAGCTGGGGAGAGAGAAACAGTAGCACACTGATTTTCCCAGTGAAAGGCTGTTCAGGGTTGGTGTGTCAGGACTGATCATTGGAGGAGAGCAGGCTGAGTTCCAGCACAGAACTGACTACTCTGTGCTCTTGTCCTCAGTGTGGTCAGTTTTTTAATAAGAAAGCAGAGGTTCTGGCAGGAACATCATGGGTTTCACACAAAGTAGGTAATACAAAGAGAACAGGATATTTCTCATACAAGTACATGGTACAGGAAGCACATATCAGGAATGTGAAATGTTGGGTTTTATATATACTTTAAGCTGGGTACACATGGATCAATATTCAGCTGGTTCAGCAGTGACTAGTCTAATTTCAATCCATGTATAGTCTCTCTGTTAGACAGAAGCCAATCAATAGATCGGCTTCTGTTGAACAGGACTGCTGGAAAACTTTGTTTAATTAGCCAGGCTGAAGTGCTGATCGGTGTATTCTGACAGAAGAGAGTCCCTGCTGTCAGAATACAATGTCCTGGTGGGGCGGATTCCTGCATCTGCATCGTTTCTGTGGATGAAGGAATCTGTTAGTTGTTTTTCGTTCTGCCCTCTGTCTGAACACCAAAAAAACTAAGTGTGTACCCAGCTTCTTTTTTTTTTTTTTTTAGTTTCGGACAAACTGAGAAAGAGTTAGAGGCTCTCTTGGTATTGTGTTGCTGTATCTGAAACCATTGGTGAAATATTTCCTTCACTTTTTGTGTATTCCACAAAATAGATAACAACCAAAATCTATTTAAGGGGATAAGGTTAGATGAGGACTTCTTTAAGGTTTTTTTTTTTTTTTTTTTTTGTTCTTTCTCTGTCCTTGTTGGAAAGGCCTGCTCACTTCCTATGTGGTCACCAGGACAGGAAGTGAGGTGAAATCTCAACAGGGTCAAAAATAGAAATAAACACCTGACAGAGGAAAGAATCCTTCCACATATTCCTCTGTACACAAGACTTTTTGTATTATTAACTACATTTAAAAAATGGTCCCATCCAGCAAGTGAAATCAGTCAGTGAAGTTCTTTTAATGTAACCCATGTACTGTACATGGCAATGTGAGAAATTCTGATCAGTTCAACTTTTCTTGAAGTGCAATGTATGTATGACAGTCTGCATAAGTTTCAAATCCAGTTACTATGTGATGCACAAGCCTCATAAACTAAACAAAAAACTTCTTTACCTCTCCTGGCTGAGCCAAACCCTTCTTCATTTGTGTCTCACACTCTTCCCTCCCAGACACTGCAGCTCTCAGTGGGAGTGTTTCAGCAGCAGAGGCAGTGCTTTCAATCCAGCAGTGATAACGCTGATAGCCATGCCCCCTGCTTCCCATTGTAGTGCAAGCAGAGAGTGGCAACTCTGCTCTGAATTTGGGTGCAGTGCTGCATCGTTGCCACACCATAGGAAGCTGAATTAGTTGGACTTCTCTCGTTGAATCAACAGGTATTTGTGAGACTTTTACAGGGGGTCTAAGTGAAAACTAAGGGCAGCTGAACTTGTAATTGAAGCCTAAGTGTAGTCAAAATAAAAATGGCTGCATGCTGTATTTCATTCCAGGACACAAGTATTCTGGGTCCTGTTGAAGATGGAACCAAGAAGCCTCAGATCGACAGCAACAAAGCCAACAACTACAAGATTGTCAAAGAGGTACTATTCTCATTGTTAGAATTAAAGCATTGTGTTTTTTTTTTGTAGTGGGGTAAGGATTTTTATCACCAGTAACATTCCATATTGACATTGCAGATTCTGATCCGGCTAAGCAAGCTGTGTTCACAGAGTAAGAAGGGCCGTAGCCAGCAGCAGAGACTTCTGAAGAATATGGGAGCACATTCCGTTGTTCTTGATCTTCTGCAAATTCCCTATGAAAAGGTATGTACTTCATCAAGCAGATGCTGTTACCACCAGAAATTGAGGTTACAACTTGGAGTTCATTGACTGCATAGGGGTCACCCTTTAGGAGCCAAAAAGTACATGTATGTTTTGGGTAAAAGTGGGATTTTCCAAGGGCACACATACTTGGCAGAAACATAGTTATTGCATTTTACTAAGCAAAGTTGGCAATGAGATGAAAAACTGATCCCAGTTTGTGCTAAGAGCTTCATTAGACAATTTGTCTTCTTTACTTTTTTTTTTTAATCTAGACTGACGACAAGATGAACGAGATTATGACCCTCGCTCATAACTTCCTACAAAACTTTTGCCGTGGGAACCCACAGAATCAAGTCCTGCTTCATAAAAACCTGAACCTCTTTCTCACGCCAGGGGTAAGAGACCGCAACATCTCCAATCACAAGATAAGGATGGATCAGAGTTAAAGTGAATCTATTTTTTGTTATTAAATTCTAAAAGTATAAGTTCTACTTAAAGTGGTTGTAAACCCTTACATATACCCAGTGAAGTGACTGGCCTCAGGTGATACACAAATGAAACAAAGCCTCCTGCATAAGTTGTACCTGTTTATCTTCTCTTTTCTACATCCGTTAAAAGTGCAGAATTTATAAAGCTTGTCTGAGAGTTCAGAAAAAAAGGGAGTGGAGAGCTGAAATTATACACTGCAGAGCTCAGAGATGAGAGCTGATTGGAGGGAAGGAGCACAACCCCTACACAGCTCCCAGAAACAGAGCTGAGGCTGTCAATCTGCTGGAGGTCCCTCCCTTGTCACCATTTTTCTCTTGGTGTCAAGAAAACTTATCAGAAGTGATTCATGCTGATAGCAGAGGAAGGAAGCAGCAGACAAATATGACACTTAGTGCTCTTAATTGAGACAAGTACACACTATAGGGGAATATGCTTTGTTCATATTTCATGTCTGAGGTTTACAACCACTTTAAAAGCAGACACCATTCACTTAATCTCCAAACATTCTGCATTAATCAATGACCAATGCGTTACAAGAGCCTACTGCTTGGTTTCTCTGTAGGATGAGATGACACCCAGAATGTTGAATTAAGTTGTAGTATTTTTCTAAAAATGTTTCATGAGGTTATACAACATTTTGTAGTCCTTGTACATAGAAATGGTACTTAGTACAATTCTGTTTTAACATTTCAGCTCCTGGAAGCAGAAACCATGAGAAACATTTTCATGAATAACTATCACTTGTGCAATGAAATCAGCGATCGCGTAGTCCAACACTTTGTCCACTGCGTGGAGACGCACGGCCGCCATGTCGAGTACCTGCGTTTCCTGCAGACCATTGTGAAAGCGGACGGGAAGTATGTGAAGAAGTGTCAAGATGTTGTGATGACCGAGGTGAGCATATTTCCTCTTCTGCACCCTCAACATATTTTACTCATGATGAAAAATAATCAATAATATCAAATTGCCTTTATGTAAAAGATTTTCTAATGCCTTTTACTAATATGTATGCAAAAGCGAAGAGCATTGGTTTTAACTTTGTCAGGGTAAAAGTAAATATGGGGGTCCGAAAATCCAGTTGTCACACAAATGCTCTGTGGAACTATGCTTGTCCAGCCAATTTACCCCAGATCCTCCTAGTCCCTGTCTAGATAATGCCTGTGCATATTTTTCTTTTATATTGTTCCTGTAGCAAGAAACAGCTTTTATTAATCAGTGTGATGTCATCAACAGGCCTAAAATTATTGTGCAGCTGCTGGTAAGTTAGTTCCTCTTGACATAGGTCTGCCCCCCGAACTACATCTCTCAAGAGCCATTTCCCTACACACAGTTAGTGGGAAAGCTCTCTATACGTAGGGCAATAGCAGTGTTGTGCTACAAAATAAATTAATGTATGATTGATTTGGAAATCCCAAAACATATTGTATTACTAATCTTTATTACCGATAAGAATGGAGGACTTTACATCCAACTTCCTTACCAATTCATTCTTCTGTTGCTCCACCCCTTGTTTTATACACTTCAAATTTGCCCTATTCTGCTGGCATTTTGATTTTAGATTTAAGCATACCAATCATCAAGATGTCTTGGCAGATGTGTGTTCCAATGACAGCCTAGTTGCCCTAGACCCTGGCCCATGTTGGGGATGCAGAAATCCAGCCCTGGTGTTTCAAATTACTGAATCTATTCTCTATTAATAGTTTAACGCTACGTGAGACATTTACACAGGAATTCTGACATTGTTCACAGACTGAGGGAATTATTAAAAGTGAAAGAAGACTGGTGATTGATGCTGCTGTAATGTTCTGATTAATATGTAATAATCAGAAACCTGATTTATTAAAGAACGTCACATCACCTCTCCATCAAAAGTCACATTCATCTCTTTTCATAGGGCTTTCTCTATGCTCCCAGTAAAAAGCCTACAGTAGTCTCCTCCCTCTGGGAACAAGATGGGTAAATAAATGCTATTTAAAAAATCAAACATAAAACATACTTTTTAAAGTAACATAATTTTAAGTACCATTATCCAGTCTGTGCAAAATGACACTGGGGGTGATTTATTAATAATGGTTGTTTTTGTGCAGAGA